CTCACATGACTATCCAAGTCTCTAGTAATAAAAAGTGTGTGGCTAGACGAGGCTCACATGACTATCCAAGTCTCTAGTAATAAAAAGTGTGTGGCTAGAGTCAATGACTAAAGTCTCTAGTAATAAAAAGTGTATGGCTAGACGAGGCTCACATGACTATCCAAGTCTCTAGTAATAAAAAGTGTGTGGCTAGACGAGGCTCACATGACTATCTAAGTCTCCCTAGTAATGAAGAGGGGTGCCTGGGAGGGGCTTAAATGACTGCATGCAGCTAGGAATGAAAAGGGCGTGTATAGGCGAGGCTCACATGACTATCCATGTCTCTTGTAATCAAATAAGCAAAAAAGAGTCCATGCAATAATGTGAAAAAAACACTCAGTGATCTTCACTTCTAGTGCTCAAAAGGAATCCTCCAATGGCAGCAATGCCTGCTCACCTCCCCACCTTGACCCACACAGGGCCAAAAGGCTATAGCTCTCCTCAAAGGCAATCTTTTAATCCAGGCAGCTCAGCAAGGGATCACAGGACTTCCACTCCACCTCCACTCAAATGTCATATAGGACACAAACAGAACTTCCCATAGTGTAATATTGTTTAATTAGACACTTTGTACATCATATTGTTTCCACTCACATTTGTTTCCTATTACAAAATCGCTTTCCACCTCATTCCATGGGTGTATTCACATGCAGGAAGGGAAACCAATATGGCCGCTGCGTCCGGACATGCGTCCCCACGTGACCGGAAGTGACGTATCTCTAAACTGGGAATGGCGTACCGGCCTTTTGGCTAAGATCAAGTGTAGTATCAAGCTTGCCTTTAGGGGTGTCCCTGCTTCCAGCTCGGACGTTGAGAAACACTTGTATCTATCCCAGCCATTTGGTCTGTGTGGGGTACCCTCTACTCGGCCTGGTAGGATCGTCGATTCAATTCGGCTTCACCTGCTTGCTGCTATTGGGTTTGAGGCTTAGCCCCCACACAGAACGAGTTTGTTATCTTCCCCCCCCCTCCCCACTCCCCACCAGCGCCACAGAAACCCCAGAAGGACCCAGGTAAGAGGAACCCCCCAACCCCTCCCCCCACCACAGCCGCCCCTACCCCTCCGGTGTCGGAGGCCGCCCCCCCGCCCCTCCCTGCGGGCGCAACTCGTCACAACGAGAACAGTAGTGATCGGCGGTGATGATTTTAACTGTCCGATAGAGGAGGACGGGCGCAGCTCCAGCATGTACGCTAAACTCGATGCCACCTCGAAGCTGCTCCGGGAGGTGATTGCGGAGGCTTCCCTGCAGGACGCCGTGGGATCCGTGGGACGCGGCTCCGTGAACTACTCATGGAGCCGCCCCGATGGATCTGTGCGTTCCAGGATTGACTTTGTGCTCACCTCTAGGGCAGTCAGGCACCGTGGGTTCTCCATGGTCCCCTGCTTTTTTTCTCTGACCACAGGGCCATTCACTTTCGGGGTGACCTGGGAGAGGGCTTTGCCCCCGGCCCGGGCTCCTGGAAGCTGAATTGCACCCTGCTGGACAATGAGGAACTGCTGGAGGAGCTCAGGGAAACCTACGGTGCCTGGCAGGAGGAGAAGTCTTTTTTTCCCAAGGTAAGCGACTGGTGGGAGTTTGTGAAAGTCAAGCTGCGCAGCTTCTTTCAGGCCAGGGGACGCCAGCAAGTGTGTGCCAGGAGGAGGGAACTCAGGAGACTTCAGCGTCAGCTGCAGTCCCTGCAGGACCTTCATCACTGTGGCTGGGACGTTAGGCAAGACCTGGAGGACACCAAGAAGAGCTTGAAAAAGCACTTTGAGGAAGAATCCAGGCACATTGTCTTCCGTGCCAAGGTGGAGCATCTAGAGAAAGGTGAGAAGTGTAACTCTTTCTTTTTCAGGAAACTCCACTCAGGACACACACCCCTGTCGGAGCTGCGCGACAAGACTGGAACACTCCAGAAGGGGAAAGAGGCCGTGATGGAAGTGGTCAGCGACTACTACACCAACCTCTACTCCCCCAAAGAAACGAACGCGTCAACAGCCGACAGATTCTTGTCAGGTATCACTAACACCATTGATCCTGCAGGTTTGTCGGCCACCAACGCCCCCTTGACGTTGGAGAAGCTGCACTCTGCCGCTAAATCCTTTAGGCGGGGCATGACCCTGGGCTGCGACGGTCTCCCAGCAGAGCTCTATGTAGCGCTGTGGGGACCTGCTCGAGCTGTACGAGGAGATGGTGGTGGAGGGCAGGATGCCTCCTTCGTTGAGGGAGGGGATGATCACGATCTTGTACAAGCGTAAGGGGGAGAGATGTGACTTGAAAAACTGGCGTCCCATCTCTCTCCTGAACGTGGACTACAAGATCCTCGCCAAAGTCCTGGCTAACAGGCTGAAGGCCGTCATCGGACAGATCATCCACCCGGATCAGACTTGCGGCAGGATTGCGGACAGCCTAGCGCTCGTCCGGGACACGGTCCAATACATCAAGGACCGCCGTGTGCTGGTCAGTCAGTCTTGATCAGGAAAAGGCCTTTGACCGTGTCTCCCATGGGTTTATGTGCAGAGCCCTGTGCAGGTTTGGTCTTGGGGAAATGTTTTGTTCATATGTTGACATCATGTATAATGACATTTGCAGTACGGTGCAGGTGAACGGCTGGAAAACTGACCCCTTCCCGGTCCTCTCCGGGGTCAGACAAGGCTGCCCTCTTTCACCTCTGCTTTTTGTTTGCTGTATAGAGCTCTTCGCCGAATGCATCAGACGGAATCCAGAGATCGGGGGAATCACCGCGCCGGGACCAGACAGAAGGGAAGTGAAGTGCTCGCTCTACATGGACAATGTGACGGTGTTCTGTGCCAACCAGCGCTCCATCGACCTGCTCGTCCAGACCTGCGAGGACTTTGGCCAAGCTTCGGGGGGCAAAAGTCAACTGCGGGAAGTCGGAAGTCATGCTCTTCAGAAAGTGGTTCCTGCCTTCTTCTGCATCCATGCCCTTTGGCATCAAGACGGACTTCATGAAAATCCTGGGAGTTTGGTTTGGTGCCGAGGGTGCAGCCCTGAAGTCTTGGGAGGAGAGACTGTCAAAGATGCGACAAAAATTTGGACTTTGGAGCCTCAGAGACCTCACCATCGAAGGGAAGCCACTGGTACTCCACAGCGAGATTCTCCCTGTGTTGCAGTACCTCGCCCAGGCCTGGCCCCCACGGGTCAACACCTGTAAGGCCATCACCAGGGCGGTGTTTCACTTTATCTGGGGCTCCAAGATGGACAGAGTGAAGCGGGCAGTCATGTTCAAGGAACCCCTCAAGGGCGGTAAGGGCGTGCCCATCATCGCCACCCAACTGAGGGTGTACTTTGCCTGCAACTGCATCCGCAGAACTTTGCCCAAAAGGATTATGGACTCTGGCGGGAACGCAATGTCACGCTTCTTCCTGTTGCCTCTCTGGAGGTCCCTCGGATGGGACAATTGGGACAGTTCCATCCCCTACAACTGGGACACCCCTTGGTACTACCTGGATACTTTCAAGTTTATCAAGGAGCAGGGGCTACAGGGAGTCAAGCCTGACTTGTGGAAGCCAAAGATCATTTACAAGCTCATCAGAGCAAGTGACATTTTGGAGTCGGTTCCAGGCCTGCCTTCAGACACCTGCAAGGTGGTCTGGAGGAATGTTTCTTCAAAAATCCTCACCAACAGGCACAAGGACCTGGCATGGATGGCAATCCAAGGGGGGTTGCCTCTCAGGACATTTATGCATGCCAGGAACCTGAGCAGATACAGACACTGCCCCTTCTGCATCATCCAGGAGGAAACGGCTCATCACGTTTTCTGGGAGTGCTCTTTTGCTCAGGACCTGTTGAGGGCCCTGGAACCTGAACTCAAGGACTTTGTGCCACAGACAGCCATCACACACTTTGGGGTGTTGAATGGACTTTTCTGTGGAACTTTTTCTCTGGAGGACATTGACAGCGCCTGGCGGGTGCTGTGTTGCTTTAAGGACGCTTTATGGTGCGCCAGGAAGTGCCTCATCCACCAGTGGGAGAGGATGTCCATTAAGGACTGCTGCAGACTGATCCTCAGTCTGCTCAGAGACTATACCTTGATGGACTTTAAGGAGGAAGAGGACGTCTGAAGATCTCCCCTTCCCCCTACTCCCCCTTGCGTGTCTTTGTCCCTTCAATAAAGCTTCGGGCCTGTGTCCCCTTCTTTTTCCCCTTCCCCCCCCCACACACCCGATGCTTATTGTAAAGTGTAACATCCGTTTTTTTTGCATGACTCTGTAATGTTAGGAAATGTTCTTTGTTTTAGGATGCTATGGTCTCGGGGTAAGCGGCGTCATGCATGACGTGTTGGTCTGGGGATTCATCCGCCACGCACATCACGTCAGGCATCATACCGCTGAGTGAATGTATTTATTTATTGAATGTATTTATCGTATGCTTGGAACTATATTGCAATGTGGTGGGCTGCGTCGCAGTATAGGGTGAGAAGTACCCCGATAACGTTTTGCAATGTGGTGGGCTGCGTCGCAGTATAGGGTGAGAAGTACCCCGATAATAACAATGTGGTGGGTTTTGCAATGTGGTGGGCTGCGTCGCAGTATAGGGTGAGAAGTACCCCGATAACGTTTTGCAATGTGGTGGGCTGCGTCGCAGTATAGGGTGAGAAGTACCCCGATAACGTTTTGCAATGTGGTGGGCTGCGTCACAGTATAGGGTGAGAAGTACCCCGATAACGAGTATCATGGTTTTTTTTTATACTTATGTAATAAAGTATCTTTTTCAATCCATGTCTCTTGTAATGAAAAGGGCGTGCCTGGACGGGCTTATATGACTGCAAGCCTCTAGTAATAAAAAAGAGGCGTGGCTTATATGACCTATCCAAGCCTCTAATAATGGAAAGAGGCGTGTCTAGGCGGGGCTTTCAGGAACATCCAACCCCGTAATTAGGAAGGGCGTGTCCGGTCGGCGATCACATGACCGCGGTGTCCCGTGATCCGGCAGTCGGTGTAGTATAGTATAGTGATGGCGGTAGGGATGCAGCTCCTTCCTGTATTGTGCCTGGTCCTGGCCGCTAGCAGCCATGCACACCGGACGAAGACGGAGGTGCCTCCACTAGCTGACCCGGAGCCCTCCCCATACGGCTCCCTGTGGCCGCTTCCTCAGGAGGTGCAGGTCTCCTCCACCGTCTTGCTCATCCCCCCGGCTGAGTTCGCCATAGTGCACGGAGAGGGGTCCACCGCGGGGCCTAAGTGTCTGGTGCTGCAGGATGCCTTCCGGAGGTGAGCCGTGTACCGTGTGTGTGTGTCCGCGGTCCAGCGCCGGGGAGGGGGGGGGGGGGGGAGCTTCACCTGGGACCTTTCTAGCAGCCCAGAAAGCGATGACAGCACAAGCCAGAAGAGGGAAAGAAGTTCGGTGTACATACACTGCGCTTTTATGATGGGCGAACATAAAAAATACAGCTAAACGCTAATTGAAAAGTGCTAAACACTGAAACTCACATGTTAAACGTGAATTTACACCGCTAATGTTAGCAGCTTTATTAGAGTGTCCAGTGTGCATGGAGCCTTAGATTGCATCGAAGAATGGCTTAACCCAGCGGTGGGCAACTGTGGCCCTCCAGCTGTTGTAAAACTACAAGTCCCATGAGGCATTGCAAAACTGACAGTTACAAGCATGACTCCCAAAGGCAGAGGCATGATGGAACTTGTAGTTCACCAACAGCTGGAGTGCCACAGTTGCCCACCCCTGGCTTAACCCCTTTATGACTCTGTAACACATATATATGGCATCCAGGAGGTGGGCTTTAAACCTGGGCTAAAAAATGGAAGTATCCTCCTGCGGTTAAGATGAATTAAATCCCTATGCTAACAGCTGCTGTCACTCTGCCTTAACCATTAAGTCATAGAATAATGTTTGTTTAAACCTGGGTGCCACATATGTGTTCTTGTGTTTGTGCTGGGGGAATGCTGCCAGCACAGAGAACAGGCTTTCATCAAAGGGCCCCAGGGTCTCTCACTATTTAGAACTGGAAGCACAGGTTCCCAGTCACCTGATCACTCTGGCTATCATGATCAGTCACTGAGCAGTCCCACACTGTCTTCTTTCTCCTCTTGAATGGAGAGCATGATACATTGTATACATCCAGGATACATGACATAATACATTGCATCTTTCTCTCTTGTCCAGGTGAGAAATATGTGAACAAACACAAGTGTGTGTGTTTGTAAAAAAAAAACAAAACAAACTGCATTCTGTTTTACCCTGTTGCTAGGTTGATTCAAAAAATAGATTGTACTGGTAATGGCCGTCCTCTCCACACGCCCTGTAGTTCTATAACTGCTGATGGATGACAGTTTGCTTCTTCATCTAACAATGTGACCTGACCTCAAGCATAGTCACATTTCAGTACACAGTAGTTTCTGTGCATGTCACATGATCAGTCAGTGTTGTTGTAGATCTCCAGATTCCGAGCTAAGAACTGATTTTTTCCTGTTGTACAGACAGACCCGCCCAGCCAGTAACTGTCAACAAACTATGTGGGAGTTTCCGTCGGTGTGATCAGTTGACTTTGCTCTTCTGCTGAAGCATTATAAACCACATCCAGGATGAGCTATGTATGTACTGTACATGTATGGCATACAAAGCATGGTTTCTGACTAGAGATGGTGAGAAAAGGTTTCTCATTGTCTTCTGTCACTTTGCTTGTTGCTTTTACATCCTCCAGTTGTGAAATCTCCCAGGTGTGTTCAGTAAATGAACTGGATTTACTTGCCTAACCTGGCACAGAAATGACACACCTTGGTCAGGGTACAGGTACGGTCAAATGTTAGAGCAGAACTAAAATGAAAAATTGTGAGCAGGTTGGGTTTTTTTGTTGTAGAAGAGACATTCTATGCAATAAGGCCTCATTCTTACTTGCGAAAGGAGTGGTTAGCAATTGCACCCAGCGAGGGTTCCCAGAGATTATCTACAGGCAGCAGTCCAATTTAAAGTAATGGGAGGCTGACCGCTCTTGCAGCCAATCGTGGCTGCTTGCAAGTAATCACTTATGGAGCAATTGCCTGTCGGTGATCAGCCCTGGGCCCAAACATCTTTCCCACCTGTGGAGCCAGAACTGGCATGGGGGTGCTGCCAGGCAGAGTGGAGGGAGACCAGTGAACATCCTTTTACTACTCTCCCCTACCGTTTTAGAATCTGGAAGTGATGTATGTTATGACACTTCTAGGTTCAGCTGTCACCTGTTTCCCCAAAGGGCATATTAGACAAAAGCGGTCTAAAAGTCTCCATAGAAGAAAGTCTTATTAAAGAATAACCATCAAACAGAATAGTATCCCATTGGGAATTTATGTCCCCTTGTGTGATAAAAACTAAAGTATATTGAAAAAGTGTAAAATATTTACATCCAAGCACTTAAAGTGGTTTTAACCACTAGCCTACTTATACCCCCTTCCTGTCCAGGCCAATTTCCAGCTTTCAGCGCTGTCACACTTTGAATTACAATTGCGCGGTCATGCAACACTGTACCCATATGAAATTTTTAGCATTTTTTTGTGACAGAGCTTTATTCTGGTGGTATTTAATCACCTCTGGGTTTTTATTTTTTCTTAAACCAAAAACCACTGAAAATTTTGAGAAAAAAAGTTTTTTCTTAGTTTTTGTTATAAAATTTAGTAAAGTGATTTTTCTTCTTCACTGATGTGCGCTAATGAGGCTGCACTGATAGGTGGCACTGATGAGGAGTAACTGGTAGGCGGCACTGATGGGCATTGACTGCATCACTGATGGGCAATTAAAGGTGGCACTGATGGGTGACACTGAAAGGCAGCTCAGATGGGCACTGATAGGTGGCATGGATGAGCACTGAAAGCTGGCACTGACAGGTGGCACTGCTGGGGCTACACTGATCATCAGTGCCCTGATGATCAGTGCACATGTCCCCTCTGATGAATGCCGATTACCGGCTCTCCTCTATCAGCGTGACAGTTCATGAGGAGAGAAATGCCGATAACCAGCATTTCCCTGTTTACATGCGATCAGCTGTGATTGGACACAGTTGATTACATGACCGAACCAACCTCTTCGGCTCTTTCCGTGGATCGGTGATCCGCTGTGTCCGAGGGACATAACGCAGCGCCGATCACTGCGCGCTCCCAAGGCCGCATATGCGTGGTGAGAATGGGAGGACGTCCTATGATGTCCTCCCAGAACCAGAGAACCACCTTGCGCCTGTCATTGGACTATATGGTGGGTGGAAGGCGGTTAAAGGCTCAAGGTTTTTTTTTTTTTTTTTTTTTTTTTTTTCCCTGTCATGCATTCTATGCATGCAAGACGCTGCTCTGTGTCTTATGGATGCATAGAGCAGTGGCTCAGGGACACTCTAGGGAGAGGAGCCTGGATCACTGATGTAGGTCCTGAAAAGTAGAGGATCGGGGCAACTGTGTGCAAATCTACTGCACAGAGCACATAAGTATGACATGTTCATTATTTTATATTTATAAAAAAAAAAAGCTTTAGTATCACTTTAACCACTTGCCTACTGGGCACTTTTACCCCCTTCCTGCCCAGGCCAATTTTCAGCTTTCAGTGCTGTCACACTTTGACAGTTGCGCAGTCGTGCAACACTGTACCCATATGAAATTTTTTATCTTTTTTTTTTTTTTTTTCCCCCCCACACAAATAGAGCTTTCTTTTGGTGGTATTTATTCACCACTGGGTTTTTTTTTTTTTTTTTTTTTTTTATAGGCTGCACTGATGAGGCAGCACTGGTGGGCATTGATGAGGTATCGATATGCAGCACATATGGGTGGCACTACAGGGCACTTTTGGGGCTTCACTGATAATCATTGCAGATGTCTTCTTTGACAGTTGCCGGTTATCGGCAGTACTTTCCTTACGGTGTGACAGCATGAGAAAGTACTGCTGATAACTGGCAAGTGTATTTACATGGTGATTACATGGTAAAAGGCCACTGTTTGTTTTGTTTCCATGTTATGTGATCAGCTGTGTCCAGTGGACACAGCAATCACAGACAGCGCTGGGGGGGGAATTCTGGGAGGATATAATATGTATTTCCAGAACTGGATGACCACGTTTTAGCCATCATTCGGCTATAGCGTGGTTAGAATGTCGTTAAAAATCTCCCCCCCCTAAGAAAAATTGTGAGCCCCACTCCCACATGAAACCAAACACGTGCTACATTTTGCCACATATGCTGAGGTGAGAGCAATAATTCTAAGTGTTATTCATGGTTCACGCTAAACTGATGACCTGTAGGGGCTTTTAAAGTGTTACTAAAACCAGTCTGTATATGCAGTAAACCATGTCTGTTATACTCACTGTGGAACTTAAGGGGTTAATCCTCTGCATTGTGTTTAGAAAAAAAAAAAAAATCCCAAAACCATCATCTGATAGTACAGAGCTCTAGTAGGCACTCTGCACATGCTCAGTTTGATGTGCAATGTTTGAGAATTATTTTCTTGTTCTTGGGAGGGTGCGTTTCATCAGCACTGGACCAATCGGCACTGTCCTAACAGAGGGCCTGGGGTTATGCAATCTCATAGGACAAACGGGGGAGAATGAAAACTCCTACAAGCTTTAACCATGCTCAGCTGGACACTGCTAGAAATCACAAGACTGTTCTAGCTGCTGATGAGAAGGTATTTAGCAGTTTATATTTACTAAAATAATTGCATTTCCACTTTCTGTGTACTGTGGGAGACCAGATATGGTGAATGCAGGGTCCTGGGTTTAGTAACACTTTGGACATTTAGGATACTGAAGCTTGTCATTGTTTCATGGTGCATGCAATTTTAAGGCTTCACATTTGGGTATCTATTTAAGCGGTTCAACTACATTTTATGTATTTTTGCACTTTTATGTGTGACGTGTAAAAGTTGGCACTACCACCATTTTACTCTTTAGGGCAGTGGTTCTCAACCTGTGGGTCGCGACCCCTTTGGGGGTCGAACGACCCTTTCACAGGGGTTGCCTAAGACCATCGGAAAACACATATTTCCGATGTGTAAAGAGCAGCTACTGTGTAGAAAGCAGCAGTATTGGAGGTAAAACGACACTTCATGAATTATAATTACTGGGGTAAATAATTTTATGGTTGGGGGTCACCACAACATGAGGAACTGTATTAAAGGGTCGCGGCATTGGGAAGGTTGAGAACCACTGCTTTAGGGTATCTGCAGTCAGAAAATATGCTTTAAGGGTTTTATGTTATCTTCAGCCCTTTTAAAACATTTTTTTTATTTATTTTTTTGGAGCGCAAAAAAAAAAAAATGCAAAAATGGCCCTGGATTTGAAAGGCTTAATGTAGTTGTAAATCCTCAACTCCCAAAACAGGTCACTAGCTGGTAACACATTTCTGTTCTACTTTAATGAGTAAAATTGGAAAATAACTTTTTAAATGCCTTTTTTGGAAGTTTATATAACCAGGTCATGTGACCATAATTCCCTGACAGATTATTATACTGGGTGGGTTTTGCGTTAAACAGAGTAGCTCTTGTGTCACTACTGGAAGTAATGTAGGATTTGGGTTTTCAAGACAAGATTGCCAGCTTTCAAAATAATTGTCACTCATCCTGATAGTTGTTTGCACATTCAGAGCTTTTTTTAATGAGGATGCTTGTTCCAGGCATATGTATGTCACCAGGGCAGGAAAAGAGGTGTGGGGGGCTGACAACACTGGCAGGAAGTAGCATTCAGCAGCTTGACTCTAACATTGTCAGCCCGAGAGCAGACATACACAGGGGCTATGCTAGGATATCAAGGTACCATGCAGTTTTGTATGCTCCATTTTAGATTTTCAAAAATAATTCAATAGGATCTACAGCCCCAATTCAAAAAAAGATGGGACAATGTGTAAAATCTATATAAAAACAGGATGCGAAGATTTGCAAATCTCAAAAAAAATTTACAATGGAAAAATAGAAAACTAAAAATTATGTAATTGATGGCCACAATCTAACAAAATGTTGGGAAAGCCATGTCCCATGGTGTAGCGTCCCCTCTTATTTTTCACTCTGTAAATGTCTGTGAACTAAGGAGACTAATTGTTGGAGTTATGGGAGAGGAATGTTGCTTAATTCTTGCCCGATATAGGATTCTAACTGCTCAGCAGTCCCGGGTTGTCTTTGTTGAATTTTTTTGTTTCAAGATGCCAAATATTTTCAGTTGGTGATAGGTCTGTACAGCAGGCAAGCCAGTTAAGCACCGGACTCTTAGGCGCCTTTTCATATGGGGTGGAATCTAGTGGTGCACCGAAATTTTTAAAATTCCGGTGCTGAAACGAAAACCAAAAGATCCGGATGCACTTGGCCGAAAACCAATCCGGTCACGTTTTTTTATTTATTTTTTAAGTGTAATTAATGTGGCTGGCGTTTTTTTTTTTTTTTTTTTTTTTTTTTTTTTTTTTTTTTTTGCATTAAAATCACTAGGGGGTGATTTTTGCTTTAACATTAATGGGATGTGATTTTTGCATTGAAGTCGCTAAGGGGAGTTTTTGCATTAAAGTCTATGGGATGCAGCATGCCATTATCGGCACTTTATTTATTTATTTTTCTCTATCAGGAAAATGACGATAACCCTATGTTCAGCAGCTGACATATCGGTGCATCCTTAGTGGCATCCGATTTGCTCATCAGGGGATCGGTCTGCTGATTTCGCCCCCCCCCCCCCCCCCCCGCTGAGCAGAGCGGACGGATGACTGGTATGTGTCTGCTCAGTTTCTGCAGAGCAGAACATGGACAGAGCCTGATTTGCTTTGAGTGGCCAGATGTAAATAAACTAGCTGTCCATTTACACCCGACTGCTCTCGGCTACTTCCTTTTTTGTTTCTGACCGGATCTGATTGGTAGGTGGGTGTAAACAGACGTGTACTGTGTGCTGGTGACTGCTGTGTGCTGGTGACTGCTGTGTGCTGGTGACTGCTGTGCTGGTGACTGCTGTGTGCTGGTGACTGCTTCTCAGAAATTCTCAGTTCTATATCCTTTGGATGCTCCTACTGCATGATCTTCTGGTTCTGCAGGGGTTAATATGAGTAGCTGCAGACTATGGCTGCCCTTTCCCACCCTTTGCTCCATTCATAGAAGCTATACTTTTTAGTTCCCACAATGAAAAGCGCTTTATGAATGGAAGTGGACTTTTCATCATCTGCCCATCCTCCATTCATAGAACACTTTGCATTGCAGGATCTTATAGTACGACTTCTATGAATGGATCACGGGGCAAAAAGGGCAGGCATAGTCAACACTTGATGAATGACTGTCACAGCTGCAGCCACTCCTATTAACCCCCACAGCACCAGATCACGATATGGGAGTATCCAGGAGCAGAAAACTGAGGACTTCAACTAAACTGAACTTCATTAATTGTAATACTGTCCTTGGTGCTAGGGGAAAAAAAAAATGTTTAAAGTCTTAGAATGCATACTTTAAAACTTGTATTTGTTTTCAGATACTACGATTACATGTTTGGTTTCCTGCGACTAGAAGATGTACCTGCAATCAAACCGCGTTCAGGACAATTAGTACAACTTCAGGTCATCCTCACCTCAAAGAACAATGAATGTCACAAGTATCCCAGCATCCATTCAGATGAGTCATGTGAGTATATTAGAATTTCAGTACTAAGTAAACCATGTGAATTGTCTAGTGGGTGTTTTTAGAATTAAAGAAAAAAAAAAAGCTAACTTTATACAGCTTGCTTTCTCTTTTTCAGCCATGGGAGCTGAATGAAAGAAATCAATAGATTCCTCTAGCCATGCTAAACAGTGTGGATGGAGGAACGTCCACTGCTGGCTATTGTATTCAGCAAGCAGGGTGCCAAACTTGAATAGTGACTGTATTTGATAGCATACAGTCACTGCTCAGCCAATAAATTAACTCCCTGCTAAAGCAGGAAATACAGGATCAAAATTCCGCCAGTTCAGCACAGACCAGCCAAATTTTGATCTATGTATGGGCACTGAGGTTTTACAGAAGTGGATCTATTATTCCACTTCTGTATAACTGCCCTGTCGGATTTTACCTGTTTGATCAGGTCTACAGGCTATAGCCATATGTATATTCTGATGGTGGAGAATTCTCCCTGCTGTCAGCATACAATAGCTCAGCAGGGAGGATTCCTGCATCCACATTGTGTTTGGATGAGGAGATTTTGACACTTTTTTTTTTTTTTTTTTTTTTTTTTTTTAACCTGCTGGTTGAAAAACAAAACACTGATTCCTTTTATGGCCTGCCTTTTTAGTTGACTTTTGTTGTACCCAGTAGTACTGCTCACATGGTTACCCATTGCTTGAATTTCTGCCTATTCAGCAGGAAAGGGATGAAATGCAAGCGGTCTATAGCCAGCTGAAAGATTACCATACTAGAAGGGAGAATATTTAGAAATCAAATTTATTTACATCAATGTGTATGAAAATCATAGGGATGTGACCAGTTCTAATGTACTTTTTGCAGGCAGATGCCTTTACATTTAACCCCTTGACGCCGACGTCACACAAAAATATGCGGCCTCACGGAACTGGGGCCGCATATTTGCGTACGTGTCTGTGCTGGGAGCGCGTCGCACTGCGTGCTCCAAGCACAAAGATTGCGGTGTCACTGAGAGTCCCGTTCTAACGATCGGGACCCGGGACTCCCGATTACGGGTCACATGATCGCTGTGATAGCCTCTGATTGGCTATCACAGTGATCAGTCGCTGTGCAGCCTGGCCCCCGTGTGTGGATTTTTTTTTTTTTTTTTTCTTATCTATGAATGGAGAAGAGAGATACATTGTGTCTTTCTAACTCCAGGCATAGAGAGAAAAAAAAAAAAAGAGAAAAATACCTAGATCAAGGTTTGATCTAGTTCAGTGCCAGGGTTATTGTTTGGGTCAAAGGTCAGGATTTAAAAAAAAAAAAAAAAAAAAAAAAATTTGGTGTCTGTTTTTTTAGGTAAAAAAAAAAAAAGACAAAAAAAAATGCGCACTATTGTTTCTGGGCTGTACTGTGGGTACAAATAACACACATATATGGTATGGCTGCGATCGTCAAGAGCTGAGAATTTATTTTGGGTTGTTCTTTGGTAGTAGGTTATGGTAGTAACAAGAAACACGCAGCTAAATAAAAAAAAAAAATTTTTTTTTTTTTTACTATTTTGGGCCAGTTTTTTTCTTTTGATAATAAAACAAAAAAATCAGGAGATATCCATTACAATTTACCACCAAATGGAGCCCAATTTGTCCTGAAAAAAACTCAGTATAATTCACATGGATGTACAAAGTAGTTGTGATATGTACGGTTTTACTAACACATGTCAACGTTGCAATATTCTGCCTAGGCATTTGAAGGAGTTAATGACACAAGTCAAATGGAAAGCAAAGTCTCCTGTGTTATAGGCATCCTTGGGTGCAGACTGTGTAAGCCCTGGCTTGAATTGGCTGGACCATAGAGATGTGAGGCTAGCTGATAAATATTCTGTTCATGGTCATCCGCTGTATGTGCCTATTAATCAATGGCAGCTCCAGACAAAAACTGTTTTGAAACTGGGTTTTAAGGGTTTCTAAATTTGAAGTTCCCCCTGCCTCCTATCCTTGTAATATAGATGAAGAGAAGGAGGCATGTTTGTATCTCTATCCTAGTGTGTGACAACAATGGTTTCCTCCATAGATGCAGCGGAATGAATGAGACTAGCCACCCTAGGACAGGAAGTGTTATTCACAATATCGCCTGGTGAAAATAAAGAAAATTGTAGCCACCACATTGAAGGTCATGTAAGCTGCAAAATATTCCATTTGAGGTTTAGATCCAAGGTTGGTTATCTAAACCAGTCTTGTGGGAAGACCAGTTAGCATTGGTGCCTAGAGGGTTAGTCAGTTAGCCTGGCTAATGCCACCTTCTTAAAAATGTGGATGAAGTCTTACTCTAAATGTAATTGAGATTTGATGATTGATGTAGAAAATGTCATACTGCCTCCTAAACATCATTGTAGAAAACTATCTACTTTAATCAAATGATGTTGGTGTGCATTGCTGAATAATAAAACTAGAAAAGGTCTTTTGTTTCAGCAAGTACACAAAACTTCAGACATGTGAAGTTACTCAACTGTGCTAGTTTGAAATATTCAAATCAATCATCAATATTCACTTCAATCATATCTGATCAAGCATAACTTGGTTCAGGTCATCCGTTAGGCCTCTTGCAAACAAAGGTTTTGGTCAGGCCCATCTGTCAGTTTTTCTTTTGTTCTTTTACATTTCAGTAAAGTCTGAAGTCTATGGCCAGCTATAGTTTTCCTTGTATGCTTCCACTTAGATTGGAAGAGGCTCGAGGAGACCTACACTTCTTCTCTTTTTTTTTTTTTTTTTTTTTTTTTTTTCTTCCCCCCCCCCCCCCCCCCCAAGGGCACAGTATTCTAGCTGCTATATTTTCAGTCTAATTTTTGGTAAAATCCACAGGTTCCTGTCTTATGTGGGCTGGGTAAAACTAAAGTGTTAGCAACGCAGTACCCCTATCTCGTCCACTCATAAACATTTATAGGGGGCCCTGTTTTCATTTATTTAATTATGACCATTTATGATTTTTGTCAAATGTATTATTTTTTTCATTGTAGATAAGCTGTCCGTTAATGATGATGGAGCTGTCATTCAAGCATGTCAAGTCTGGGGTGCTCTGAGGGGTAAGCACTTTATTCATTTGAAATCTGCAGTTAAAATACAAACCACCTGTCTGTTTGGGAACAGTGATTTTAGTAGTCTGGATCAATCCCCATTCCTGCAATTCTCAGTGCTGCAACTACACATTCCACCTGTATTGCACTGCAACTACACAGACGTAGCAGTGAATCATTTGAAGGCAAACGTTGGGGCTCCACTTAAGATACAAACCGACTCATGGATCCATGATTTTAGTAACCTGGATCAGTTCCCGTTCATGCAACTGCAGATTCCACCTGCATAGTCCAGTATTGTGCTGCAGCTGCACAGTTGCAGTGGTGAATCATTAAACGATAAAGTTGGGACTCAACTTGAGGGGGTCCACCATCTGCTTTTGTTCACAAGTGGAGCATGGTTGGAAGCTTCCCTGTTATACCACATAAAGCAGACTTGAGCAGATGAGAATCTTGAAGTTCCTTTTTAATTAGCTGACAATTTAAACACGAAGCTCACCTATAAATAAATGCACATCTTTTTTTACAGAAAAAATAAAACGCATTACATTTTTTTTATTTTTTACAGGAGCATGCAGAGCATTACATTTGCAATCAGTTGATTAGGGGTGCAAAGTCAGGCTCCTGCAAAACACACATATTCCTGCCTGGACCTCTGTACGGACTGTCTGATAGCTGTAGAAAGTGGCAATGAGCTATGAGAGCGCTCACCAGCGGCCTTGCAGTTAGAGAATGACAATCTGTCGGCCTTGGTACAGACGTGGCAGACCAGGCTTTTAGTTAATTCATTGTAAGATTCATGAGAATGTGTCTGTGAGCGGGTGTGGAGGGAAAGACCCCGCCTGCTGTCGGGGGTGTAAGGGCTTGTTCACACTTGTGCAGAGATCTATGTTTTTCAGCACTAGAAAAACACAGGTCTTTGCAAGGGCAATAGAAAACAAGTGTTTTGATGAACAAAAAAGAATGAAATGTAATGGGGAAAAAAAAACACACACAACATAAATGTGCACTGCCACTCCAGTCCCTGGACTTCACAGTAGAACCCTGAATTTTACCTTAAGGGCCAGGATGTTTGGTCCCTAAAGGTGGGGGAGGACTGTGACATGAAGGATCTGAGTCATGTCACCAACATGACACTCGAACCTCTGCTGGAAGAAGGTTTTACTGACCGAACCCCGTGAATTTCAATTCAGAACCTCTGCTTTAAAAATATGTTCTCCTTTTAGTAACATGTTACACACACATTTAGTAAAAAAGTAACATGTTGCAATGCACCATTCCCTACACCTCCCAATTCCTCCAACCCCTCCCCGCCACCTTAACCTTGGATGGTTTTAGTCCCAACAACCATGCTGAGCACCACCACATGTTGTACTGCATGATTATATGTACAGCTAAACATGGATTGCATAGTATACCAATGATAAGAGACAGAGGGGATGGCTTCATGTGCCTGAGCTACAGAGAGTGCTGTGACTTCCCTTTCTTTAATAATTTTTTTATCTCTTGTCCTTCTAGTCTGTTGTTGGATATACTGTTATTCAGAGATGGCAAGGTCATGGATGAAAACACAGGGTCATCACAAATTGTCAGTGCTGTTATTTGCTGCTACTTCCTTTTTATTCTTCTACCCAAGACATTAACATGTGAATGCTTTTCAGTAAGATTGCTGTGGCAGCAACACGTTATTATGGCAGCTCTGGCCAAGATTTTCCTTACAGACTTTGTATTGTCTGGCCTTTTTATATCTTGGTAGGTAAGCTGTCAGTTGATGGGTAACTTATTATTTCATTAACCAGTAACATGCCAGAACATGTTTTTTTTTATTACTCATCAGCTCTATCAAATGTGATCTTTCAGTTTTCAATGGAAGCCCATTGGTTGAATCTCCTTCCAGCTTCAACCACTTCTTTATGAATTTCATGGCCAGATTTCTTTGCACACATTTGTGTCACTAACTCCTACCAGAAAGACATAAGGGTTTTACACTTTTACATATTATTTGCTCAGTCTTCATTATGACGTTATTATTAAATGAGTAAGACACCATAATTTGGCTTTGTGCTTTGCCTGGCAGGCTGGGCTGTCCTCATCAGTGATTGTTTTTAATGGTATGGAGAGGCAGCATGTAGTCGTATTTATTCCTGCCATTCTGATTTAAATGTGTTTGGTGGCATTGGCAGACAAGGAAATGAACCTGAATTTTGCATTTACTGGATCTCTGAAGCAAAAATATGTATTTATTTTTTTTTCTTTTAAGGTCTTGAGACGTTCAGCCAGTTAGTTTATAAAGACAGCACTGGAGCAGTAAGTATTAATTATGTAGAACTCTTCCCAAAGATTTATGGCTGCTGTATGTGTTTTCTGTGAGAATACAAAGGTTGCCATTGCTTATTTTTTGTGTTTTTATAATCGCCTTTTTATGAATGGCAAACATGAGAAAAGGCTATTCCATGACCAGATTTCTGTAAGCTGGTCATTGCTGCTGTTAGTGCTTTTAGCAATATGCAGAGTGTAACTCTCAGCACATTTTGTTTGAGACCCATAATTGCTCAACTGTACTCCATTATGGAGAACCTAATTTCTTAAAGCAAAAGTCCAGGTTTTTTTTTGTTTGTTTTTTAATTTGCTATTAACTGCTGTAGTGAAGGGCTCACTTTTTATACTTCCAATCTTTTGTCTGTCCTTTAGCACTTCTTCACACATGTTATCCCAAATCTTAATTTCCTAAATGGGCTCCTGCACACTGCCGTCTGAGTGACAGCCTCTTCCTATGGAACTTGGCTGTGATGTACATGCACCCCTGTAGTTCTTAGAACTATAGGGTGTAGTAATGACCTTACCAGTACAACCAGAGCAGTACATGCTGAAATGTGTAGTTCCTGAGCAGTGTGCACTGGTGTCACTTTGAGACACTGGTGACATGCGCACTGCTCTGGGTAGATGTCTCGGCTCGTATTTCTACACAGTTGTATTGGAAGTGGCACTGTCATCATTATGCACAGCTAAAAATGCTGTGACGTTGGCAAAGGGCACAAAAAGGAAAATCAAAATTGGTGTACCTTGAACTGAGGGAGGCAAGAGCTCAGGTTTATACTGCCACTGACCCAATCTCCTTATGAACAGTAAACAGGTGGTGCAGGTCTTTTTACCTGCCAGATTGTTTGGAAAGCAGTCTGCAAATGGTCAGTCATGGAATCTATGGGCATTGGTTTGAGCTCCCCCTATCTTATGGCTGTAGTTTACAATAAATAAGGGTATTAAAAGAGCCAAAGATATTTTTTTTTTTTTTTACCATATTTCTTTAGTGGGTCAAAGGAGTGCACTTTCTTTTGCTCTCCTGTGACTGAGTTAGCTAATAGTGGGCAATAGCCCACCATCAGCTGATGTTGCAGAGCCGCTCAAAGCTCAGGAAAGATCCTGACAATATTGCCAGGATCCACCCTGGCACCTAATTGGCAGCTGGCTTCTGCTACCTTTCCTGATCAGTGCTGACAGTCACTTCTCTCCGCTTTGAACAGACTGAGAACTGAGCAATCAGCGGTCATGTGACCGCTCAGTTCTCTCTTTGAGCCGACTTGGGACTGATGCTGCAGCATGAAGGTGAGTATGTATGCTTTTTTTTTTGTTTTTGTATTTTTCCAAAGTCTACACTTTTTTTTTTTTTTTTTTTTTTTTGTCAGCCTTAGACAGCCATAGACCTGTTTAGGAGTTATAAAAAAAAATATATATATAAATTTAGATTTTCACTAAAACAATGCAGATATGAAAAGTAATTATAAACTGTGTTTCTCTATGGTATGAATACAAACATTTATGAAACATATTTTTCGTGTTTTTCTCCCTCCAGTTCCTTATAAACAAAACTCAGATTAATGACTTTCCAAGGTTTGCCCACAGAGGAGTACTGCTGGACACATCCAGACATTTTCTGCCTCTAAAGGTTATCCTAAAAACTTTGGTGAGTGACATTGGAACTTGGTGGTAAAGAAATTATAGTACAGTCTGCATAATGTGGGCTGCTATTGCTGAACTCCTGAAAATGCTGATCCTCTGGTTTCAGTACCTGCTAATCTGACAGGTGTACTAATCTCTTTACTCCCTTTTTTTTTTTTTTTTTTTTAAACTTCCACCTTCAGTTTATACTTTAACACTTGCCTCTTGTTGCTATGGAGTATTAAAAGGGACTAATGATGTGTATAAGTCTTAATAGATTTTGTGCTATTATATATAGAAGTTGGCTATGCTTATTTATTACAGTAGTTGTGTATATATATATTTTGTCCTTGCCTGGAGACTACAGTGCTTGCAACTGGTTTACAAAATCTGGAACACTTTCCATGTCTGCTACACCAATATGTATGGTATATGCTATGTCAGAGTTAATTATTACTACAGTTTTGTAACCAATGTGCAATCGGTCATTACTGAATCCTGAATACGTGTTTGAATATCCTTCCTGTGAAGGATCTATTCACAAAGAGCTAATTGACATATTAAAGAGAATTTGTCTGCACAACCTAGAAGAACTTCTTCTTCTCCCTTCTCCCTTCTCCCTTCTCCCTTCTCCCTTTCTCTCTTCCTCCTTTTTCCTTTTCCTTCCTCCTTTTTCCTTTTCCTTTTTTTTTTTTTTTTTTTTTCTTCTCCTTTTTCCTTTTTTCCTTCCTCCTCCTTTTTCCTTTTTTCCTTCCTCCTTTTTCCTTTTTTCCTTCCTCCTTTTTCCTTTTTTCCTTCCTCCTTTTTTCCTTTTTTCCTTCCTCCTTTTTTCCTTTTTTCCTTCCTCCTTTTTTTCCTTTTTTTCCTTCCTCCTTTTTTCCTTTTTTCCTTCCTCCTTTTTTTTTTTTTCCTTCCTCCTTTTTTCCTTTTTTTCCTTCCTCCTTTTTTCCTTTTTTCCTTCCTATTTTTCCTTTTTTCCTTCCTCCCTCCTTTTTTTTCCTTCTCCTCCTTTTTTCCTTTTTTCCTTCCTCCTTTTTTTTTCTTTTTCCTTCCTCCTTTTTTTCCTTTTTTCCTTCCTCCTTTTTTTTCCTTTTTTCCTTCCTCCTTTTTTCCTTTTTTCCTTCCTCCTTTTTTCCTTTTTTCCTTCCTCCTTATACTTTTTTCCTTCCTCCTTTTCCCCATTGAGGGACACGGAAATATTTAACTTCTGGGTTATACTGTTGCCTTCAAGGGAATTTTGGATGCTAGGCCAGCACTGGGTAACTCCTCCCTTACCAGAATGTGGTTCCCCAGTATCTAATTTCACTGGGCACCTTTATTTCCACTGGTTCTGCTGTGGAGAAGGTTAATGTTGTGGGACCGAGTTCTGACCTCATTCACTGAATGAAGTGTCATCTGCACACACCATGCTCTTCTCTGGTATTCAGGTCAAGAAAACAAGAGAGACACTGGAACTTTGCAAGGCAGATGTCTGAGCTGGCCGCTTTATCTTGCGGGGAAGCCTTTCTTGCATTGCATAAGGATTAAGGTAGTGTTGCAACTCAGGACTTCCATTTTGCGTAAAGTAGTTTTTTTTGCTTTTCACCTCATCTAGGACAGTGTTCTTCTGTTCCTCTGTCCAGCTCTAGTTCACCAAAAGGCAGTTTCCTTTTTAAGTCTGGATGTTGTATGGGCAGTGGTCTCAAGGTTGCTGTACATTTGGATCCATGCACCTGCTCTTGCCCACTTATCAGACTTTGATATGCTGTTGTGTCTGCGCCTGCGCTGCGTGTACATCCACTTCTTTCACCTGCCTGCACACAGCTCTGAGGTGGATGTGCACACATCTGCCAGCAGCTCTGCACAGAGGACAGCACTAATCTGAATGAGCCCTTAATGGAAGGACAGTGGCGCAAACACACCTTCTGCGTGGGTAAGGTAACAGCTAGGATGTTGATGGCAAACACATTTTGCTGAGTCAGGTTTTTTTTTTTTTTTTTTTTTTTACCTTTTTTTTTTTTTTGAAAATTTAATTCTATTTCTGTTTCAGGATGCTATGGCATTTAACAAAATGAACATCCTTCACTGGCATATAGTGGATGATCAATCTTTCCCTTATCAAAGCGAAACATTCCCTGAACTGAGTAACAGGGTGAGTAATTTATACGGGGTTTCTGGTAGAGAGTGATGCCAATTCTCCAGTTGTGTAATAACTCAATTTTTTTTCCTACTGGTAGTGCTTTTTTTTTTTTTTTTTTTTTTTTTTTTTTTTTTTTCCCCCTGTGCTGTTCTGTCATGGACTGTCTGGTATGTACATGAAAGCTATACTTAAAGATACAGGAATGAGAGCCCTGTGTATCAACTTTTTAAAATATTTATTTTTTCGAAACTAGTACCACCTGTTTGAGTCTCTAGTAGGTAGATCTGATAAACAGAGCCAAACCTCGCTGTATTTGAAATTGGCTGTGTGTTTTTTATGTTGGGAAGAAATCGGTTTATATTTTGCAATAGTTCCATGAGGCTATAAAAGTACTTACACATAAGTTGGTTGTCTGCCTATCAGGATCAAAGTGTTTGCGTTTGTGCAGATGTCATTTGTCTGTGCGTCAGCCCTGAACTGATATGATTGGACCAGGTGATCACAGGGAAGTACTAGATTGCCCAGATTCCATTATTATATACTAACAACATTTTATTTTTGTCCAGGAGTAGGCCTGGTGTAGGGTGTCTGTAGAGAACATAAATAGAAATCTATTGTAATCCTGCATGATGATTTTTATAATTATTCAGGATTTATATAGCACCAACAGTTTACGCAGCCCCTTACAACATAAGGGCAGACAGTACAATTACAATACAAATTAATACAGGTGGGATCAGAGGGCTCTGGTTGTTAGAGCTTACAATCTTAGAGGGAGGGTCAGTTGATAAAAAAAAAAAAAAAAAAAAAACGTAGCAACTGTAGGGGATGGGCTGATGGAGAAAATATACTCGTACAGTTGCTGGGGGGGGGGGGGGGGGGGTCAGGATAGGCCTCTCTGAAGAGTTTTTAGGGATCGTCTAAAAGTGGTAGGAGATAGTCAAAAACATTGGGGAAGGGACTTCCAGAGGATGGGAGCGGCTCTGGAAAAGTCCTGCAGGCAAACATGGGAGGAGGTGACAAGGGAGCTAGAGAGCAGGAGGTCTTGAGAGGAACAAAGAATGATTTAGTTGGTATTTTGAGACCAGGTTAGTAATGTAGCTTGGGACTGGGTTGTGGACAGCTTTATAAGTTGTAAGTATCTTGAATTAAATTCCATTGGGTGAGCAGAAACCAGTGGAGGGATTGGGAGAGAGGGGTAGCAGACACTGAACGGTTGGTAAGGTGGATGAGTCTGACCGCAGCATTCATGATGGACTGGAGGGGGGGTAGCCTATGTAAAGGTAAGCCAGTGAAAAAGGGAGTTGCAGTAGTCAAGGTGGGAGTGAGTTGGAAGCTTTCTGGTGTCATTGGTTATAGAAAGAGACGTACCTTGATTAGGATTGATCCAGGATTACACCTAGAACCTTGGCAAATGGGGGCGGAGTGACATTTGAGCCGTTTATTTTGAAGGACGACTAGGGAAGGGGCACATAGGGGAGGAATTAATGAGCTTGGTTTTGGATAGATTGATTTTCAGGAAATGGTGTGACCTCCAGCCTGATGTCTGTTAGATTAGTGATGTGTGTGGAAACTAATGGGGTGAGCTGAGGGGTAGAGATAGATTTGGGTGTCATCAGCATAAAAATGGTTGTGTAAGGCTATCAACTGACGAAAGGAGGAGGTGTAGACTGAGAATAGGAGGGGTCCAAGAACAGAACCTTGGGGAATCCCAACGGAGAAAGGAAGAGAAGCAGAAGTGGAATAGGTAGGATGAGAACCAGTGAAGAGTACAGTCACGAAGACCAAAGGAGTAGAGCGTTTTTGTTTTTGTTGAGGGAGAGATCCACTGTGTCAAAGGCAGCAGAGAAGTCGAGGAATAGGAGTACAGAATAGTGTCCATTGGTTTTAGCCGTTAGTAAATTGTTTGAGTTTAAGCAGAGCAGTTTCTGTGGAGTGTTGAGGGCAAAATCGGACTGAAAGGTATTAAGAAGGTTATTCTCCATGAGATGGTCGCTCAGTTGGTTGTAGATGGTATCCGGGGGCGGACTGACCATTCAAGCACTCGGGCACTGCCCCATGAAAATTCCCCTGGTACACTTTTTTTTTTTTTTTTTTTTTTTTTTTTTTTTTTTTTTTTTAAAGGCTTTTTTTGAGTATGGGCAAGGACACAATGGGCTCAATGATCCTCTATTGCCTAGGGGCCCCATGAGTTGACAGTCCGCCCCGATGGTATCCTTGTTCTGTTTTTATCTGCTCTTTATATGCTGCTAGATTATTCAGTAGAACAGCACTACAGTCTATAAACTGTTTCCTATATAATAGGATATCTGGGAAACTGCAGCCCCAGATTGGAGTTTGTGCTGAAAAGTGTTCAGGTAAACTAGCAGCAAATGAAGCCTGTGATGGGAAAAATACATATTCATAGGTGAATACTACGTCAGTATTTCTGTAAAATCCAGAGGTTATAGATAGCGGCAACTATTCCATTCTTGGCTTTTTCTGCTGACGTACAGCTTTAAACAGTTGTCTTCTGATCCTCCCTATTGGCTGGAGGTGCACCCATAACATGATTGACCAATAAGGAAGGCTTGAAAGGGGCATGTCATGGTGGTGTTTCTCAGAGAATATTGAGATTTACTTGAGCTGCCTATAATCTCTAGATTCAATGCCTGTTTTTGACATGGTTATGTGTTTTTGTTTGGGTTTTTTTTTTTTTATGTTTTTTTTTTTTTTTTTTTTTTTCTCTGTATGTATTACAAAATGTTGCATTACTTGTTTTCCAGTGTTTGCTAATAAATGTTCTGGTTTCAGGGAGCTTATCAGGCATTCACACACATTTATAGCTTCATTGACGTACGTATGGTGATTGAGTATGCTAGACTAAGAGGAATTCGGGTTATACCGGAGTTTGATACGCCAGGACACACTTACTCATGGGGTAAAGGTGAGTATGGTTTATGCAAACCAAGACAAGCATCTACGTACTATTAGTGTGTGTATATGTATGTATGTATGTATGTATGTATGTATGTATGTATGTATGTATGTATGTATGTATGTATGTATGTATGTATGTATGTATGTATGTATGTATGTATGTATGTATGTATCAAAAAAATTAAAGGAACACTTTCTAATCAGAGTATAGCATCATGTTAACTGACCAGATCAATATCCCAGGAGTTTAATTAAGTAGCAGAGGGGGTTGTTAATAATTTCATTAACACCAAAAGCAGCTGAAACTGAACACGTGCACTAGATGGGCAACAATGAGACAACCCTCCAAAACAGGAATGGTTTTACAAGTGGAGGCCACTGACATTTTTTTTTCCCCCTACTCATCTTTGACTGTTTTTAACTAGTTTTGCATTTGGCTAGGGTGAATGTCACTACTGGTAGCATGAGGTGATACCTGGACCCTACAAGGTTGCGCAGACAGTCCAACTCCTCCAATATGGCACATCAATACGTGCCACTGCCAGAAGGTTTGCTGTGTCTCCCTGCACAGTCTCGAGCATGGAGGAGATTGCAGGAGACAGGCAGTTACTCTAGGAGAGCTGTACAGGACCATAGCAAGCTTTACTGCGTATACAGATTGATTTTACTTAACTCTAATAGGGATCCTATGGAAGCATGCTGTAATGTTTAACCACTTGACCTCCAGAGAATTTACCCACCTTAATGACCAGGCCTCTTTTTGCTACTCGGCGCTGCACTAATTCAACTGATAATTGCGCGGTCATGCAATGCTGCACCCAAACAAAATGTACCTCCTTTTTTCACACAAATAGATTTCTTTCGGTGGTATTTGATAATCTGTGCGCTTTTTATTTTTCACACTATAAACCAAGGCCAAAAATTTTGAAGAAACACAATATTTTTTTACTTTCAGCTATAAAAAATCTATAGTAAACTCAAAGTTTGTTATAAATGTAGGCCAAAATGTATTCTGCTACATGTTTTTGGTAAAAAAAATCCCAATAAGTGTATATTGATTGATTTGCTTTGTGTGAAAGTTATAGCGTCTACAAACTATGGTATAGATACTGCAATTTACTCCATTTGTTTGCTATACAGCGCTGCGCTAGTTTAACGGACAATTGCGCGGTCATGCAATACAGTACATAAATTTAAATTTTTTTTTTTTTTTTTTTTTTCCCACAAATTGAGCTTTCTTTTGGTGGCATTTGATTGCCTGTGCGGTTTTTATTTTTTGCGCTATAAAAAAAGGCTGACCATTTTGAGGAAAAAAACATTTTGGACTTATTTGCTATAAAACATGTCCAGTAAAAAAAAATTTTTTAAAATCAAATTTAGTCATAAATTTCTGCCAAAATGCATTCTGCGACGTGTCTTTGCTAAAAAAAAAAAAAAAAAAAAAAAAATGTGTAAATTTGTTTGTGAAAGTTAGTGTTTACAAATGGCGGGAAAGATACTGGGATTTTTTTTTAGTGTGTGGTTTTTTTTTTTTTTTTTTTTTAATACTAATAATGGCGGCGATCGGTGACTTATGGCGGCGATCAGCGACTTGTGGCGGGACTGCGGCGGACATTCTGACATTGGGGGGTACTGACTTGGGGTCACTGACATCCCCAGTGACACCAATACAGTGATCAGTGCAAAAAAAAACTGACACTGTACTAATGGCACTGGGGAGGAAGGGGTTAAGTTTTTTTCAGGGAAAGGGTTAACTGTGTGGAGTGTTTTTTACTAGGGGGCGGGGGTGTGTACTGCACAGGACACCACTGATCGGGAGAGCGAAACTCTTCTGTCTCGATCAGCTTGTCCTGGAGCTGTCAGGGAACTGACAGAAAACACAGCTACTGCAGCTGTGCTCTCTGTCAGCGATTGTCGCCGATCGCTGGGACATAGCTGGTAACAACCGGCTGTGACCCGGCGACTGACATCCGCGGCTGTGATCGGCGGGACAGGTAGGGTGGCGGCGAGCCTCGCACACGCCCCCTACCGGTTTACAAAACACACGTTTTAAAACGTGGTTTTTGCCCAGCCGTGCCGCCCTGCCACCGTATTTATACAGTGGCTGGGCAGCATGTGGTTAAAAAGTAAGATTTATATGCCAGTTTAGTCAGTTACCTCTTTGTAAAATAATGTTCCCTTATTTTTTATTTTTGTACCTTAGGCCAGAAAGATCTTTTGACTCCGTGTTACAAAGATGGAGAACCAAGTGGAACCTTTGGACCTGTGAACCCAATTGTCAATGGCACTTACACATTTATGTACACATTATTTAAAGAAATTGGCATGGTGTTTCCTGACAAATATATCCATTTAGGAGGGGACGAGGTGGACTTTTCTTGTTGGTGAGTTTAACTGTGTTGTGTGATGGATTTCATAAATAGCAGGCAAAATAAATGTAATAAATTCCACTAAACAGTAGACAGCAGTCAGTATGTGACCTTTCATTTTAAAGCAAAGCTGTGTGTGCGCTAAACTGTTAACGCAACACACGCGCACACACACCTACCTGTGTCTCCAACAGAAGCTGGTCTAACTGTCTTGTCGAAGGGAAATGGTGGAAAACCAGCATCTAAACAGTGTATTCTGGCTGGGAGGGGCACCACTTGTCAGAATACAAAGGCACTGTGGGGTAGATCACCACACCAACATAGCTTGTGTTGCTACAGCGATCTGTCAGGTTTTTAGTTCAGCCTGTGGAGTTGAATTGAAGAAAAACTGTCAAGTGTGTACCAGGCTTTAGTAGCAATAAACATCACTACGCTGGTTGAGCCCCCTCCTGAGTTTCTGTGAGTTTGTTGTTTTTTTTGGGTTTTTTTTGTCATCTCTTGTGGGTCACAGGAGTGCAGTTACTTGTGCTAAAGCCTACTGTTAGTTCATGTCACAGAGCTGCCTCCAGGCTCTGGAAAGACCATATAGTCGGGCTCCACCCAGCTACCTAAATAACAGCTGGCTCTAGCTTTCAGTGCTTGGCTGAGCGCTGAAGCCAGCTGCACCCTCCCCACAAGCCCACAGCTCCAGAGCACTCGAGGAGCAGAGAGCAGTGACTGACAGTCACTGCTCCCAGTAGACCAAGAACTTAGTGATAGGCTGTCATGCGAATGCTCAGTTCTTGGGCTTAAAGCTGGTGGGGACAGCTGCATCATTAGACGGCTGCTTCAGCATGGAGGGGAGTATGTAATTTATTTATTTCTTTTTTGACAAACTAAAACTTGTACTTTTAACATCTTTCTTGGCCTTGTATACAGTACACTCCTATAACATGCCTGCTTTCCCCTTTCAGCTGGCATGTGGCAGCCCAGTGTAGAGGCAGAATACTGCAATTTATAAAGGAGGATTTTATTTTCATGCAATATATGGATAAACTGAAAGATGTACTTGTTGCCGTGAGTTATTCTCTAGTACACCATAATGGGTCATGAGGATTGTACAATACCCATTGGCTAGACACAGGAACATAATCCGTAGAAAGTACTGAGCTGCAGTGTGGGTCACCTTATTTTTCAAACTCCGTATTGATGGGGGAATCTATTCCACAGCGCTATTGTGTTCTTCCTGCAGGGAGCACGGGCAACCTTCCCCACCAGCAGAATACAGTGATCACTGTTAGTGGCTATAGCCACCAGCCGTGACTGCATGAAAAAAGAAACAGGTTGGTTGTACTTAGGCTGGTTGTACTGAAGTCGATTGATAAATTGACATAAGTACAACCAGCCTGTTTCTTTTTTCATGCAGTCACGGCTGGTGGCTATAGCCACCAGCCTGCCCATACATGGAAAGTATTTCGTTCCATCTTTGGCCAGCTTTGGATAGCTTGGTGTCAGACAGCAGTGCATAATGCATTATAAACTACAGGTGTTTAAAATGCATTATGTATTACAAACCACTAATTTTGTCTGCTTAATCCTATAGGAAGTCCAATCCTGCTATTGCAAAGTTCATGGCTGAGCATGGCTTTGGTACAGACTACTGCAAACTGGAATCGTATTATGTCCAACAGTAAGTGTTGTGTCTTTTATGTCAGCCAATATTGATAAAGAAGAATTCCATGTATGGATACTTTTACATGGTTACATTGGTCCAACTTGGTAGCTCGAAATCGCTGTACCAGACACTGCTACTACAGTGATCTCCACTAGATTCTAGGTTCCGTTTTTAAGCGGCTGCTCTTCCTGGATTGTAAACGCAGGTCGGCCACTTGCTATGGGCGCCATTCAGAGATCGCTTGGCAAGCATTCTCTGATTTTGATGAGGTGGAGATGTGGGATAGTAATGTGAGACTCTCCACCCCATCCAGTCAGAGAATGTTTTTTGTATTCGTTGAGAAGATGCAAAGCATTATCTGAATGGTACCCGTGCCCAGCAGCTGACCATTTCAGGGCAGCACGGAACCAAGAAACTAGTAGTGGAAATCACTTTAGGGGTCTCTGTAGATCACCACACCAACATAGCTTGTGTTGCTACAGCGATCTGTCAGTTCAGCCTGTGGAGTTTAATGGAAGAAAAACTGTCAAGTGTGTACCAGGCTTTAGTAGCAATAAACATCACTACACTGGTTGAGTCCCCTCTTGAACTTGAAGGAAGTATGGCCAAAAGTTTGTTTTGGTCATACTTCTCTTGTGGGTCACAGGAGTGCAATTACTTTTGCTAAAACCTGCTGTTGGTTCATGTCACAGAGCTGCTCTGGAAGGATCCTGACTATATAGTCAGGCTCCACCCAGCTGTGGTGCAGTCCCATGATCCAGCAGCTCCAACTTCCTGGTCGGAGAGGGCAGCGACGAATGGGGGGGGCGGTGGTGATTGGAAGATTAATGGGGACCAGCAGATGCCATGGCTATGGGAATTCAGAGCTGTTGTTAAATGCTGCCTTGCACAGGAGAGCCCCAGCTGTTGAATCACCTGATGGCACTGGAGTGGATAAAAATAAAATATTTATACACTTTTTTTTTTTTTTTTTTTTATACAGGCCATGCAGAACAGGTAAAAGGAGGGGAGGCAGAATTTTTAGGAATAATTGTCATTCGCCTTTACTAATCACTTTTAATGCAGACTTGTCAGTAACTTTAGAAATCTGCACACATATATACTTAAACAGTACTTTGTTTATCTTTTAACAGCAATAATCACTCCATAGACATGACTATTCTTGAACGCACATTCTCTCAAGGTTTGTTTGAAAAACAAACTGGAAGCAGCCCTCTCTTCTCTAGTTATGACTCAGGACATTGTAACTTTCTGGCATTTCAGAAATTGGGCAGGGACCTGAGCTGTGGGGAAAACCATGTGTTCCCAGTTAAGATCATAAGCTTTATTGCAAACAGGAAATATGTAAGCATGGTTGGGTCTTGACCTACTCTTGGGAAGTCTAGGACCAAGATGCCATTTTAACATGGCCCTTAAAATAACTTTTGGTCTACAGTTTATGGTATGTTAGGGTGGTGATCTGTGGGAACAATGCTTAATATTGGTCAGGAGATGGAATGCCTGCCCCCCCCCCCCCCCTTACAGTTAGCTAATGAGTTAATTTGTGTTAGTGGTTACATATCTGAGAGGTGGAAACTGCTTGATGACAGATGACTACAGGCCATTGTATACCAATCAGACATTTTCTTAGAAAACTGCAGCCCAGATGGAACAAGGCTGGATCCCCTTGAATTTTTTTTTTTTTTTTTATAAGGAAATAACTTGATCTAGGAAATTTTGTATGTGTAGAATTTTTATTTCGAAGTTCTAATCTGTCATTTCAGTAGTATTTGACTCACTGTTCCAGTGCATGTCCTCCATTTACTTCTCCTGTGTTTCTTCCCCAGAATTCTAGACATAATGTCCAAATTGGGGAAAGGTTACATGGTTTGGCAGGAAGTATTTGATAACCACGACCAGGTATGTTCTTTTAGGGCCAGTTCACACTACATGCGTTTTTTCAGTGTGCTTTTGTTTTTTCTGCATCCAAAAAGCACAGAAAGTAGGTTCTATGGTTGTCAATGTCATAATTCACATCAGTGCTTGCAGTTCCAGTGTGTTCTGGATGCAGAAACAAAAGTATAACAGGCTGCAGTTTTTTTCCTGCACAGAACTGTACTGGAACGTGGTAAAACGTACATGTCCCTATTTAAATTAGGAGAAAAAATGCACTGGAACATGTCAAAAACATGCATGCAGAAACTCATCTGGACTGTTTCTATAGTGTGAACTGGCCCGCAGTCAGAATTATACAATACTCAATGCTATACTGTATTTTCCCACATTACACTTTTATTTGCTCTTGACATGCCTCACAACAGATCTTTCCTAATCTATTCAGTGCTCTATCTTTTTAAAGCTTTTTTTTTTTTTTTTTTTTTTTTCCTTTTCATGTTCACTTGTATACACATGACTTTCCTGAACGCAACCATGGCTCAACTACATTTGGACTTCAAACTTTATTGCTTTCTCTGCCATACAACTATCCAATAGCTCACTTTGGTGAGCTGTAAGGCCACCTCATTGGTTAGTGGAATGATTAGGTGGGGTTACTAGAACTCCTGAATTGGTGAAATGCTGGGATCTTGTTGAGGCCTGGTTTTAAAGCCAGACTCCTGCTTTCCTTCACTTTAAAGCCGAACGCTGGGCAAAACAGTAGTTTTCCATTGCAGTCAGGCTATGCCCACACTGCACAAGTGAACTGTCAGTTTTTGTTAGGGCCAAGGGGAAAGCTTATATATGCCGATCCACCAAAAAACTGCATTCCCCCACAGTTCAGCAGTGGACTGTTTCTGGTTTGTGGAGCCTGCTCTGATCTTGACGACATCAGAAACTGCTCTTGTGCTGGGAGGATCTGAGGATTAGGTTAGTATATCTTTGCTCTCCTCTCAGCTAGAAAAGCCCAAACAGTTAACCCTTGCAGTGCAGGCACAGTCCCACTTCAAGGGAAATTTTTTTTTTTTTTGCCCAGCGTTGGGCTTTAAATTGGCTACATACAGTATACAGCAATGTTTCAGCAGCAAGACTGGGACTTGCCATCCCACTCCCAGAACAAAATCCGAGTCGAGCTGAGCTTTGCTGAGCAATTCACATGAAGATTTGTACACTGCTAAAAAAAATTTTAAAGGAACACTTTGAAAACGCATCAGATCTCAATGAGGAAAAATATCATGCTGGATATCTATATTGATATAGACTGGGTAATGTGTTAGGAACGTAAGGATGCCCCATCGTTTGATGAAAATGATCACCCTTCAGAGGACTGAATTCAAAGGCACCGTGAAACTCAAAGTGAAAAAATTAAGCAGCGGGCTAGTCCATCTTGCTGAAATTTCATTGCAGCAACTCAAAATGGTTTTCAGTAGTTTGTATGGCCCCCACATGCTTGTATGCATGGCTTATGTCGGGGCATGCTCCTAATGAGGAGACGGATGGTGTCCTGGGGTATTTCCTCCAAGATCTGGACCAGGGCATCAGTGAGCTCTTGGACAGTCTGAGAGGTGCAACCTGACAGTGGCGGATGGACCAAAACATGATATCCCAGAGGTGTTCTATTGGATTTAGGTCAGGGGAGCATGGGGGCCATTCAATGGTATAAATTTCTTCATCCTCCTGGAACTGCCAGCATACTCTTGTCACATAAGGCCGGGCATTGTTGTTCACCAGGAGGAACCCAGGAGCCACTGCACTAGCGTAGGGTCTGACAGTGGGTCCAAGGATTTCATCCCGATACCTAATGGCAGTCGGTGCCATTATCTAGCCTGTAGAGGTCTGTGCGTCCCTCCATGGATATGCCTCCCCAGAGCCCACCACCAAAACGGTCATGCTGAATGATGTTACAGGCAGCATAATGTTCTCCATGGCTTCTCCAGACCCTTCCACGTCTGTCACATGTGCTCAGGGTGAACCTGCTCATTTGTGAAAAGCACAGGGCGCTAGTGGTGGACCTGCCAATTCTAGTGTTCAATGGCAAATGCCAGTCGAGCTCTATGGTGCTGGGAAGTGAGCACAGGGCCCACTAGAGGACGTCGGGCCCTCAGGCCACCCTCATGAAGTCTGTTTCTGATTGTTTGGTCAGAGACATTCACACCAGTGGCCTGCTGGAGGTCATTTTGTAGGGCTCTGGCAGTGCTCATCCTGTTCCTTCTTGCACAAAGGAGCAGATACCAGTTCTGATTGGTTAAGGACCTTCTACGGCCCTGTCCAGCTCTCCTAGAGTAACTGCTTGTCTCCTGCAATCTCCTCCATGCTCTTGAGACTGTGCAGGGAGACACAGCAAACCTGGCATTGGCACATATTGATGTGCCATCCTGGAGGCGTCGGACTGCCTGTGCAACCACTGTAGGGTCCAGGTATCGCTTCCTGCTACCAGTAGTGACACTGACCCTAGTCAAATGCAAAACTTGTGAAAAGCTGTCAGAAAAGATGAGTAGAGAAAAAATGTCAGTGACCTCCACCTGTAAAACCATTCCTGTTTTGGGGGTTGTCTCATTATTGCCCATCTAATGCACATGTTAATCCGTTTCAGCTGCTTTTGGTGTTAATGAAATTAACAACCCCCTCTGCTACTTAACTGACCAGATCAATATCCCAGGAATTTAATTGACTTGATTCTATGCTCTGATTAAAAAGTGTTCCTTTTTAATTTTTTTTTTTTTTTTTTGAGCAGTGTATTTTCTGAATGAGTACAAGGTGTCCTCTGACTTGACTTGGGTAGAGATTGTGGCATCATCTGTCTGCCTCTCCACCTCAACCAAGGGAAGCCTTGTATTTATCCAGAAAATACAAAGCTTCTCTGAATAGCTGAGCACTGCCCAGCTCAATTCAATTTTGTTCCAAGAGTGGGACTGGAAATCTGTATCTTGCTACCAGAACACAGCACTGTGTACTGTATGTAGCTGATCCTGCATACAGTGCATACAGCACTCACACTGAAAGCATCTGTTACTGAAGGTATTAGTTTGAACCAGCTTTGTTCAAGTAAACTATTTTAAAGTGACAGAATGCTGGAGTTAGGCATTAAGTCCTATTTTTTTTGTTGTAAACTGCTTTTGTTAAGTTCATAATTGAAAACCTTACTACTCTCTCATACTAGCATTTGCATCTCTGCTTGGGATTTCCACCTTAATTTTTATAGTGTCTCATCTGTCAGTAGAGTGCAGTTATTCTTCAATGCTGCACCACAAAGTGGTTTTGTGGCCTGGGGGTTCAAGATCATGGTTCCAAATCCTAGAATGATAGTTCTGTATCAGAGGGGAACTCCTCTTATTTGACTTTAAGTGGATAATTGTTAGTCTATAACGAAAATTAAAGCCACTTGTGATCCTGTATTACTGTATTGTCACGTGATAACTAAGAGAATTCTCTTGCATGCTTCTGCACATCTATCCATACGGATGTGACATCTGTAATATTTTGGTTACTTCTCTATATTTCAGTGAAACTTCCAGTTCTAAGTATTTTCCAGTTATCGTGCAATTTATGGTTTATACACGTACTGTGTTTTTATGACCTGTCACAAGTAGGATACCCATAGCCAGTTGATGATTTTGTGGCCTCTGATGTTTGGACATCGTCTTTAATACTGGGACAGTGGCAGACAGATTGCAGAGGCCCACTGAACAGAAGGATGTAGGACCCCCTCCAGCACCCATTACTGTTGTCCTTTAGGTCAGGATGATACATAAGTTATTGTCCATATCCTCACTCTCTTCTTTTTAGAGACCTGCATAGAATCTACAAGTTGCAGTCTTAGATACTGCAGCCTACCTTGTTCCAAGTCTGGTGAACTGTATGGTCAATCACTGAGCAAATCTTGCCAGCCCTTGTGTTTCTGACATTTAACATAAAATAAGAGGCACTCTGATGGGCACATTTAATGTTAAGGTGCACTCTGATGGGCACAACATGGAATGTTTCCATCAGAGTGCACATTAACATTAAATGTGCCCATCAGCGTGCCCCTGTACACCCTATCCTGAGGGCAGACCGGAGCTGTGCCGAGATCTTGCTGAAGGATGCTTGTTTACAGGCAGGTAGCGGGACCCGAAGACAGTGAGCTGCAAAGGGCAGGGCGCACACATGATGTCATGTTGCCGTGACAACCTCCCTGCTTAGAGGCGGATCTGTCATTGCGGGCTGGCGGTCCAGAAGGGAGCACTGCTGGGGCCGTTCTTGGACCGCGGTCCACCATTTAGTGACTGCTGTTCTAGAGCTTTATATGGGATTTCAATATAGTAGATAGATCTGCACCAAGATACTGTTAGAAGTATATGTTCAAGTGGGGTTCATGGCAAGGTGGAAAGGGGTGGTGCTTGCCTGTACCCTTACACCTACTTTTGGAATCCAGTGCACACAAATGGCATCCAGGACCTCTCAAAGGGTCACCTTCTTCAAATTCTTGTAAGTATACTTACTGATGCTCAGTAAGTGTGATAACCCAATGCAAACGGGAGTACTGGATGCTGTTTTTGTTTCATTGGTTATAATAAAGGGCCCATTTGTCAATGGGACCCAGAGTCAGCAGCACTTAATACAAAACCAATGTGCCTGCCATTGTCCCAGGACAATATGTCAACTGAAACAATATATGGTATGTCTATGGGTATCTTCATAACTCTTGTTTATAGAATAATGGACCCTTTTAAATTCCTACAGACAAATCATGGTGTCCTCTGTGGCTGTTGACAGACCATCTTTCATAGTTATATAATTATTTCTAAAAGTAACTAACTTATTGCCCTTTCCAATTCTGTTTCAGTCTGCAGTAAGCTATGATTTTCTAACACTGCTGAATTGCTTCTTACAGTTTTGCAAAATAAAGGAGTTCTGTATATATTTTATATACAGAATGCCTCCTATAAACTTTTCAGGCTTGCTGGGAGTAGTGTGCACAGAGCTTTTTTCTTTTTTTTTTTTTTTTTTTTTTTTATTTGTAAGGCAATCCCCCATTTCTTCAGCAGGTATGATCCTTTCAGTATATATGTCAAGTTTTTAAGAGGATTGATTAAATTACACTTTAATGCTTATTTTATGAAAATTGAGATTAATGTAAAAAAAACCCCCAAAAAACTTGCATTGTACAAGAAAGCGAACATTCTTGCATTAACATTAGCAATGTTTAATTAAATAGGTATACATTTTAATAAAGGTAGGAAGCCTTAATTTTGGTATTCTAATACTAAACTCTGTACAACAGGCCTGTATGACAGTAGCGATCTTCTCACTGGCAGCAACATATCAGGGACAAGATCCATATAGTGGGCCAAGGAACCACATTTTTTTTTTTTTTTTTTTTTTTTTTTCTGCGGTGTCATTTCCAGCAGAGTGTCTGTCTCTTGATGGTGAGGGGGATTACAAGGCATTTTGGGCAACGTAGGAGGGGCATCATCGAAACAGTTGAGTGGTTCCTTTGCCCTCTCTTGCAATCCTGTTGCTGCCAGTGTGACATCGGCCTTAGTGAAGAATAACTGACATACTAATGTAGCCTTCCAATTATTTCTTAAACACTTATCTATTGAAATCTTTGCAGATTAATCCAGACACGATAGTGAAAGTGTGGAAAGGGCAAAACTATGCCGAAGAACTGTCCAAAGTGACAGCTGCGGGGTTTTCTGCCATCCTCTCAGCTCCCTGGTACCTAGATTACATTAGTTATGGCCAGGACTGGCAGAGATACTACAAAACTGAGCCACTAAAATTTAATGGTTGGTTGTGTGTTTTTTTTTTTTAATGTTCACCAATTCTCTTGTTTTATTTTAAAGCCCAACTGAACGTTCAGTTTTAAACTAGCTAAATAAATTCCAGGTATAACAAACAAAAGGTGTTCAATGTCTTAGTTTGCTTTCTTCTCAAAGCAGCCTGAGCCGAAGTAGAAAAGCCTGTCCCTTGCCAGCACGCTTCAAAGTGGGATTCTTGCTTTTTCTAGAGAAGGAAGTCTGACACACCCCATACAGAGGCGGACCTATAGCTCTAGAATTGGCAAAGCTAATTGGAGAGCTCTTGCTCTGACTCAGCAGGGGGCGTTTTTGTAAATTCCGCAATAAGCCCACTGCTTCCCCACAGAGAGGAAGGGTCCTACTCTGAAGATGCTGGAAGGGACAGACTTTTAAGATTGGGCTGTGGTGGTGTGTGGCTTTTTTTTTTTTTTTTTTTGGTATACAAAGACAATGAAAGTAGGGTGACTGGGTTCCAGGGAAAAAGGAAAGGGGAAGGTATGGAGGGAAGGGGAGGAGGGTCAGTAACAAGAAGCTTTTTGTTGTGTAAAAGCACCCTAAAATACACATGTACCAATTATTGAACGACTGTATATCCAACAGCTATTTAACATACAGTTCATCTCATGTATATTGTGCTGTAAGTCTACCTGTATATATTGCTGCATTTCTAGATGGACTTGTTAAGGATTGCGGCTGATTTTATATATATATATATATATATATATATATATATATATATATATATATATATAATATATATTATATATATATATATATATATATATATATTATTTTTTTTTTTTTTTTTTTTTTTTTTTTTCTTCTGACTTTACTAACTAACTTTTAACCTGCATCTTTTGACTGCTACTACTATTTGCTTGGGCTGTAGAATACTATGATTAACAAATGAACATGAATGATCTGATGTAGATTAAAGTGGAGCACCACCCAGAACCTCAGTTTGTGTCCTCCACTGGCACATTTACCACTTTTGGGGGTTTTGGAGCGGGTACCTGGTTTTGACAGGTACTTGCTCCCTTTTCCGGCTCAGTTTGCTGTGGTGAACTGAGCCGGAAGTTCATCATTCCCAGGGCAACTCATGCATGCCCAATAAAACTGCTGTTTCCCTTACTTGCTATGCCAGGGCCGTGAACCCAGAGGCTAATGACAAACTAACCCGGGTGAGGACGGAGCTGGACCCATGGACAGATAAGTGTCCTTTATTAAAAGTCGGCAGCCAGTGCATTTGTAGCTGCTGACTTTTAATTTTTTGGGAGGAGCCTGGAGCTCCTTTTTAATCATTAAACTCTGGAAGGATTTACCCTCTTCGTGACCAGGGCATTTTCTGCTGTTCGACTCTGGTACTTTAACTGGCAGTTGCGTGGTAATGCAACACTTTATCCAACTTTTTTTTTTTCTACACAAATAAGAGCTTTCTTGATCACCATTGAGTTTTTAATTTTTTATTATATAATTGAAAAAAGACAAATTTAAAAAAAAACTTTTTTACTTTCTGCTATAAAACATAATCCAATAAAAAATCAAATTTCTTTATAAATTTAGACTAAAGTGTATTCTGCTACATGTCTTTGGTAAAATTTAAAAAAAAAAAAAAAAGTTTTCTGTAAGTGTATATTGATTGGTGCGTGTGAAAGTTAGTTGGTGTCTAGAAACTTTTTTTTTTTTTGTTTTGTTAAACCACTTCAGGCCTATGTACATAAACAGCTGGACGGGAGCAGTGCAGGGGCGAGTGGCTGTTTTATAAACGTCCTCCCCGCTTGTGCGCGCTCCTGGGAAGACGCAGCACCTCGATACGGTGCTGGACACAGCAGAACACGGATCATTGGACAATCAGTGATCACATGATTGGGACCTCACACAGAGGTCCTGTGTCACATGAATAGTAAGCAAGATGTCACTTGTGACATTGCTTACTACGTGTGAATGATCACAGAGATCACATGGTACAAGGCTATCCACAACAGCTTTGTATCATGTGACAAGCTTTTTTTTTTTTTTTTTTTTCTCTGAATAGATAGTTGAATACATTTTGGCCAAGATATATGAAGAGAGATTATTTGCAAAATTTTATAAGAAACACTTTTTTTTTCCAAAATTTTTTTGGGACTTTTCATTTTTATATAGCAAAAAAAATAAAAATCCCAGTGGTGAATACATACCACCAAAATAAAGTTTTATCTGTCAAAAAAAAATGCTAAATTTATATGGGTACAGTGTTGCTTGACCGCGCAATTGTCTTTCAAATTGCGATCGCGCTGAAAGCTGAAAATTGGCCTGGACAGGAAGGGGAGAAGTGTCTGGACTTGAAATGGTTAAATACTAGTAATCCGCAGCTTGTAGTGGAACTGTGATAGTGTGGTGGGCAATCTGACACGTCTCCAGTGACAATAATACAGTGATCAGTGATAATACTATACACTGTCACTCTACTGACAATGGCTGGGAAGGGGTCAACATCTACGGGCAATCAAAGGGTTAACTGCATCTAACCATGTGTAATGTGTGCTACTTTTACTAAGATGTGGTTGTTTTTTGTTCTTTGATTTGCATAGAGAAAAAAAACGGCCACATTTCTGCTCATTGTACAGAGCCCTGTGGTGTTAATAAACACAGGGCTCTGTATTGTGGTTTGCTAATCCGATCAGCAGGTCTCTGCCATAAATAATTGGCCAGGACCTGCTGACCAACGTCCTGTACCGAATTAGCACACAGATTGGGCACCTGTGCCCCTCTACCTGGAAATGCTGGATCATGTACGTGTGTGTGTGATCCAGCGCAGAGTGGCCACCCCGTTGCAGTAAAAGTACATGGGGCAGTCTGCAAGTGGTTAAAAGGTGGTTTCCATAACATTGTTAAGCAATTTAATGCTACAGCCGGGTTCTGGTAAAGGAGTTAAATTTAAATGGCATGGTTGGGTGTTGTTGAAAGTATGTATGCGACACTTTGACATTTCACCTGCATACCTTCATAAAGTTTCCAGCTAATCAGATGTACTCCAGTTCATCAAATATATGATGCTTTTTGCTTGGAAATAAAATGAGCACTTGGGAGAACTAAAGAACCGAGAACTAAAATATTTCCACCTTCCTTACATGCTAAGCTTCTTACAATTGACTTAGTCTTTCCTGTGTTCTCTCCATACCTTCTGGTCCTCAGCAGCCACAAGTGGGGTAAAAATCAGAGTAGACTCCTGTTTAACTGTAGTGATAAACTTTGAGGACCATTAGAGGATATCTGTGTCCTCTGTTAAACTTTTGTTTTTTTGCAGGAAATTATATTGTACTGTAAAATCAATTGCTTTATTAAACTTCTATTTAAATTTCTCAGTTGAAACCAGATACAGTTGTTGAAGTCTGGAAGGAAAAGAATTACCAAGAGGAGATGGCAGCAGTTACGGCTGCTGGCTTTCAGGCCCTGCTTTCTGCTCCCTGGTACTTAAACCGCATTACCATTGGCCAGGACTGGATCCAGATCTATCATGTGGAGCCTACAGATTTCAAGGGTGTGTTCTGGTGCCTGTGCCTCACTGCACAGCTGCTTGTTATGTCAGCTGATCTGCATGTGGCTTTCCCTTAGTAGCCATTACAGCACCTTCATTTTAAAGTGGTGCTGTCAGGGCAAAGGAGAATTCTTTAGAAAGTTGCCTTGCAATAGAAGAGCCTTTGTGAACCGGGTCTTCTACCTTAGTTTCAGCGCTGCAGGCTCTGTCAGTCTCCTCACCATGCAACACTCCTGGCAGTGTAGGATTCATGGGTCCCAGTGTGTACACTGGGGTTCCATCCTACTAACCCAGATGTCACTGCTAATTCCTGTGCTGATTAAGAGGATGAAGGCTAAAACCACAGCACGTGGAAGGTGACATGAGCATCCTACACTCCCCATCAGTGTTGACTTGCTATAGGCAAATAGACTGTGCACTTGAAGCGAAGGTACACTCATTTTCCCCAGGGCTTAATGAAAAGCTTCATTTTGCAAAGAATGCCCAACGGCGGCTGCAAATTTTTTTTTGCTTGCACATGATTGGATTATGGAAATGTAGGAGAGCTTCACCTCCTTCAATCTGTTCTGGGAAAAACAGCACTTGCAAACTGCTTATTCTATTTGCCTTTAGTAAATCAACCCCCATCCTGTCAAATGCTAAAAGACTGACAGGCTGCAGTTCTGGAATTAAGAAAATGAGATACAGGGCACTGTAGAGGCAAGTATAATAGTCCCTGACATGATTACTTTAATTATGGGCATTGCCAGCAGCAACAGGGTCTGTGTGTGGCAGAATACATAATTTATCCAGTCCTAAAATCATATTGAGGCATGAAATTAAGACCTAATATAGGTATTTCCTGCATGAAACCTATCTGTCATTGTTCAGTGCTAGGGTTGGCTACCTCAGAAGTAGTGTTTTCCTCTGCTTCCTGTAGAAGTGGCTTGTTGCGCAGCAGCTGTATTCAATCTTTATAGTATACTGTATTTTTGCACTTTGGGCAGTGCAGTTACCATATGGCTATTGCAGTAGCATCTAGTTTTCCTTGGACTGATCCACACCCAGGGGCGGACTGACTATTTGGAAACTCTGGCACTGCCTGAGGGCTCGGGTCAGTAGGGGGCCCCATGAGATGCCCCTGGTACACTTTTTTTTTTTTTTTTTTTTTTTTTTTTTTTTTTTTTTTTTTTTTTTTTTTTTTTTTTCCCCATAGGCTTTTTTGAGTTTGAGCAAGGACACGGGCCCCATGATCCCCTATTGCCCAGGGGCCCCATGAGTTGTCAGTCTGCCCCTGTCCACACCTTCAGTGTTCCTAACAGCAATGTGTTCGCTTGGCATGTTGTCACCACAGCAATGTAAAGGGAGTTAAACTGCAAATCTAGTAATTTTAATATACCTGGAGTTTACCATACTATACACGAACAGGGTGGTTGTTTTGTTTTTTCCAGCCTGAATGGGGGGAAAAAAACTTTACAGTATAGATGGATGCATCTCCTGCTGTGCCTAGAGTAGTTTGACAGTCAGTGGAGTGGCTGCACCTGGTTGTTGACTGAAAAGCGTCGGCAACCAATTTTCCACCCAGATCCTTCCATTTTTCAATCAGGATATCGGGCAGGAGACAGCCGACAGGCCACCCCCTGAGTGAATTTCAGCCGGCTCTGAAGAATTAATAATTTTTCTGCTTTAGGTTTTTGTTTCTATTTATTTCCACCTAGTGATCTGGTCTTTAACCACTTCAAGTCCGGATACGTTTACCTTTTCCTGGCCAGGCCAATTTTCAGCTTTCAGTGCTATCGCACTATGACAATTGCGCATTCATGCAACACTGTACCCATATGAATTTTTTAGCACTTTTTGAGACTGATAAAACTTTATTTTGGTGGTCTTTATTCACCACTGGGATTTTTATTTTTTTGCTATATAAATGAAAAAAGCTGCAAATTTTGATAACTTGTTTTTCGTATAATATTTTGCAAATCTATTCCGCTACACTTTTTTTTTTTTTTTTTTTTTTTTTTTTTTTTTTTTTTTGTTAAACACCCCCCCCCCAAAAAAAAAAAAAAATCGGTTTTTATAGAAAAATTATGATCTTTAAAATTTTTTTGTTAATTAAATTTTTTTATATTTATGGGTTTTTTCACATACAGTTGCCCTAGCAGCACAGTGTCACCATAGTGACACTGTACTACTTGTTGATTTTACAGCTTTATATAAGGTGTAAAAGCAATAATTTCTCCTTCTCTCTTGCTGCATTCCTGCAGCCGCTGCGAAATACTGAGAGCTGTAATTGGCCACAGCTTATCACATGGTACAAGGCTGTTGTGAATGGCCTTGTATTATGTGACCTCTGTGATCATTCAGAGTTCACAAATCATAAACCATGATGTCAGGAAGTGATATCTTGTTTACTACTGTTCATGTGATCACTGATATGGCCAATCAATCGGGACCTCACACAGTGGATCTGTACAAGGATCTGTGTTCCACTGTGTCTGGTGCAAACAGTGGGCACAGACCCCGGTGCAGCGCTCCAAGGAAACCGGCAGAGGCAATGGATGGGGGGGGGGGGGGGATGTTCAGGGCAAAGCCCTTATTTTTTTTTTTTTTTTTTTTCATGCAGACTTACAAACTATGATTAAAAATTCTTAACCTCTTCCCGTCCAGCCCATGCTGATAAACAGCTGGATGGGCAGAGGTCAAGGTAGAATTTTTAACCATTGTAAGTCTGCATCTAAGAAGGGATGCATGTATTCCTGTATAAAATTATAATACAAAAAAGTAATACAATCCTCTTGTGTTGCATTTGGGACACTGCACCCACTCCTGTGTGGCTCTCAAATTTTAACATGTGGTTGTGTCCATGCATCTGCTGCGTCCACCTCCATAGGCTGCCTACATACAGGTGGGGGCAGATGTAGACTCAGACGACTCCTGCATGCAGTAGGGGTGTCGGCACCAGTCAAACAAGACCTAAGGTTCACGTAAGAGGAAACCAAATTGAAAAAATTAACATTTCTACTTTGTACCTGTTCTTCCAAAATGTGATTTGTTGGAAGCAGTGAAATGTTCTTCTACACATACTTGTGCTTTGTTTTTGCAGGGACTGAAGAGCAGAAGAAGCTTGTGATTGGTGGTGAAGCTTGTTTATGGGGTGAATTTGTTGATGCTACAAACCTCACACCACGACTGTGGTATGTTTGCAGTTACATTGTTTGGTGTTTAGAATTCATGAATCTCCAGATATTTTGCTATGTATAATGGGTTAGTTCACCTTTTTCACAAAGGTTAAAAAGGTGAACTGACTGACAACACCCTCCCAATCCCCACTACACATACCTTTTGTGATCCCCATTTTCCGCCAGCCTCTCCAGCGGCTATATCGGTTCTGAACTTTAAAAATCTCACTACACAGCACCGGAGACTGTTACAGCATAATGCTCATTAGCCAGCACTGGCCACATGACCACACTGACCAAAATTCAAATGCTTTTGACAAAACAAAAATGTCGTGTGGTTTTTTTTTTTTTTTTTTTTTTTTTTTTTTGTCCCCCCCCCCCCCCCCCCCCCCCCCCAACAAAGATTTGAAATGTATGCACTCAATGAAAGCTTCAGAAATCTAAATCCTCTACACGCCCGGCTTGCTGTTATAAGACAGGATGTATAGGCGTTTCAGTTATGATCTGAAAGAAAGTCACTTCTCTGTGCTCACCCTTTAGAAGACGGATAGTGTTTTGAGACTCCAGTGTTATCTGTGCACTCTGTATTAAATGACTGCAGTATCTTAAGGTGCTAAATAATGTTAACATGGAATGTTTCATTTTTTTTTTTTTTTTTTTATAGAAACTAAATTAAACCTCTCCTCTCACACAGGCCTAGAGCAAGTGCGGTTGCAGAAAGGCTTTGGAGCAGTGTAAAAGTGACCTCAGTGCAGGATGCTTATAACAGGCTGATTGTACACAGGTGTCGTATGGTCGGGTAAGTCCTCCAGGAAAATGTTAAGGGAGAAAGTGTGCCGCCTTTATTTTGTATTTCAGTATTTTTATTAATTTTAGAAACGGTTTAAGACAGGAGCAACAAAACATGCCCATGCAGGGGCTATCAATTGCACATAAAAAAAAATAAATAAAAAAAACTGTGCTCTAACACCAACAGAGCAAAAGGGTTATTGATGGCACATAAATTACAAAAATATTAGTATAACTCCAACTGTAACTCAAACTAAAGGCAGCTATCCACTGCTACACCAAAAACAAACCATAAAAGGAAAGAAGTACAAAAGAAAAGATAACAAAACCAAGAGCAGGGGTCCGAGAACGCCAATACCGAGCAACATCACAACCCCAGACTAGCCGGGGGGAGCAAGGGAAAGGCCTATTGCAACCACGGCTCCCATATTTTCAAGAATTTCCATTGGGAGTCATTACAGATACTCAACATCTGTTCATTAAGCATCATAGTGGTCATACGGTCCCACACCCCCTGAAGAGGGACAAACGGGCTTTTCTCCCTGCGTCTTTCAGGACAGCCCCTTGAGACATTGAGCTCCTCCCTCCGGGTCAGGAAACACGCCATCCCCGCACGCCTTTAAAAGGCGGACCTCCAGGCCTCCATCCCCAGTTTTTTTTTTTTTTTTTTTTTTTTTTTTTTTGTTTTTTGTTTTTTTTTTTTTTAGTGTTTCCTGACCGGAAGGAGCACGCTGAAACCTAGAAGGGTCTCTGCACTCTTGGAAAGTGTGGGCCCAGGCACTTCCTTTCCCGGCGTAATCCCTCCACGGTGAGTGGAGTAGGGCGGCGCGTGGAAGTCTTCATCCTCAGAGGGACTGGCGGTGACTGTTTGTCATTTGCAGGGGAGCTGGGTGTGTCCAATGGGGAGTTTGGACATCTGCTCCCTTTTAAGTCTGGCTGCTTCTCCCCCATGCGTGGCTGTACAGGCATGCAAGGCGCAGGGGAAGGCTTGACTTCCGGGGGCGGGGCCTGCGCTTCATAGGCCGGAAGTCTGACGCGAATTCCGGTGGGCGTGGCCCTGCGTTTCAGCAGGTCCCTGCGTTCCACAGACCGGAAGTGAGGTAACTTCCGGGGGACGAGGCCCTGCGTTCCACGGACTGGAAGTCCTGTAGTGACGTCATCGACGGGCACTGGAGACGCTGGTTCCAGTCTAAAGGAAGAAGAAAAGGCGCAGGCTTCCATTTGGGTGGTCGGTAAGGCGTGAAGAGCAGCAGAGGCTGTGAATCACGCCAGACGCAGCGCTATGGAAGCTGGCTCATCACAGCAGGATCCTGGCTCCGGCACCGGCTCCTCTCAGGTAGGCTTGGGGAGGGTCCCCTTTAGCTGATTCCTGGGAGGGTGATTGGTTGTCCCCCCCAATCTCTGAGGGCAGGTTGTGGCGGGGCACGCTGCAGCTTCCCCTAGCACAGGGTGTGTGTAGTGGGTCTTTTTGGGGGCTCAGGGTCTGTATTCTGTCTTTTTCTTTAGGTTAAGACCCAGGACAGGACCCCGGTTCAGGCCCCCAAAGAAAGTGTGCAGTGTGTGCGGTTAAATTGGGGTCTGCATGTGAGAAGCCCCTGTGCCGTGGCTGTATAGACAGCTTAGTCAAGGATGAGTCCTTCACGGCCTGCCACAAGGTGTTATCCTCTATTAGGGATGACATGACGGCGACCTTTGTCTTTTAGGTCCCTGTTCAATAGAATGCAGACTCCACTGGGGCCTTTGGCCCAGCCGGCCACAGCTGTAGGGGCAGCTAGGCAGGAGGACCCGGAGGAAGAAGACACTCTGTCCCTTCCTTCCTCCCAGGCGGGTTCTGGGTCAGAGGCCAATATCAAGGAAGAGGCACTGCTTCCAGAAGCTCCAGATATAAATTGGCCCTAGAGGATGTGGAGGATCTCCTGAAGGCTATTTACGATACTGTAGAGATTGAGGAGGAGGAAGTATGCTTATCTAAGCATGACCTCATGTACCCGGGGCTTCATGCTAAAAAGAGCAGTTTTCCCAGTCCATAGATCTTTGATTGAGACCATTAAGCAGGAATGGGAGAATCCGGAAAAGAAACCCTTCTTTTCAGGGGCTCTGAAAAGATTTCCTTTTCATAAGATGCTTCTCAGCCTTGGAACAAAGTTCCAAGGTTGGACGCCTCCTTTTCTAGGGTCTCTAAAAGGATGGATCTAGCCTTTTGAGGGCATGGGGGCTTTAAAGGACCCCATGGATAAAAGGGGTGAGGTCCTGCTTTGTAGGGCATGGGAGTCTTCTTCGGTTAGCCTTAAACCAGCCCTATCAGCTACCTGTGTGGCCAGGAACTTAGAATGCTGGCTTTCGCAGTTACAAAACCATCTGGCGGCAGGAACTTCAAGGCAACAGATTTTAAAGTCTATGCCTCTACTGTTTAAAGCAGCTGGGTTTCTGGCAGATGCCTCTGCGGAGTCTGTCACGCTAGCAGCAAGATCTTCGGCCCTAGTTATTTCAGCCAGGTGTGCTTTATGGTTAAAGACCTGGGCAGGGGATTCAGCGTCTAAGCTACGCCTTTGCACTTTGCCTTTTTTTTTTCGGGGGGATAATTTTTTTTGGGCCTGGGTTGGAGGAGGCCTTGGAACGTACGGCTGATTAAAAAGAGCCTTCCCCGGAAAGTAAAATAAAGGTTTTTCCCCAGGAAGACTTTTTGTCTGAAATCCCAGATCCCGCAAAGTAGGGAGAGCCAGCCCAAGAAACATTTGGACTGGGCATAAGAACAGGGCAAAATGAGGGATCTTATTCAATCCTCCAAGGCCCCTCCAAGTCACAATGACTTAAGCATCCCAGTGGGGGGAAGGTTGGGGTTCTTTCTCCCTCAGTGGGCATCTCCCCGAACCCCTACATTTTGGACCTGATTCAGAGGGGTTACAGACTGGAGTTCGACTCCTGTCCACCAAACAAATTTTTGGTCACCAAGCTTCCCAAGGACCGGAAGAAGGCTCAGGCTCTTTGCGGTCTGATTGGGGATCTAGTAGACCAACAGGTCCTAGTTCAGGTTCCTCAGAACGAGCTGGGTTTAGGGTGGTGTTCCCATGTTTTTGTCGTGGGAAAACCCTTGGGCTAGTTCCAACTGATTTTGAACCTGCGGCCTCTGAATCAGGCGCTGAAATACAAACATTTCAGAATGGAGTCCATTTATTCTGTAAAAAAATATCCTTTTTCAGAATTGTTTTATGGCCACACTAGATCTAAGGGCCGCATATTTTCACATCCCTATCCATCAAGCAAGCCAAAAGTACCTAAGGATAGTGGTAAGGATGGGTTCACAGGTCTTCCACTTGCAGTGTTAGGCCTTACCCTTCTGGCTGGTGTCGGCACCGAGGATTTTCACCAAAGTGTTGGCAGAAGCCTTGGTGCCCCTAAGGATGAGGTCTATCACGATCCTTCCTTATTTGGACGATCTTTTTGTGGCCAGATCCTTTCAGCAATTGACAGAGGAGCTGCTGGTGGCTCAGAATCTCCTTCAGGGTTTTAGGGTGGCTCATCAACAAAGACAAATCGGCGTTAACACCCTCCCAGAAAGTAGTTTATCTGGGGTACGAGATTTCGTCATTGGAGGGAGATTTTCCTTCCTTGGGAGAAAGTCCTAAAGATGGGCAGACGCTGGCGGGATTGCAAAGCAATCTGTTGGTGTCTGTAAGAGAGGTCTCAAGTGCAGTGGGTCTTATGACGTCTTGTTTTCCGGCGGTTCCGTGGGCAAGGCTCCACCAGAGGGCGCTTCAGGCTTTTCCTGCTGAAGATATGGGGTGGGGACAGCTCTACATTACAGCAAGTGGTCCAGCTCTCACCCAAAGTAAAAAGGTCCCTTTGGTGGTGGCGGAAAGAGGCAAATTTGACAAAGGGGTTAGAATGGTGCCAGCTGGCTCCGCTCGTGACAACAGATGCCAGCATCTTTGATTGGGGAGCCCATCTAGAAGGCTTGGCAGCCCAGGGGAAGTGGTCTCGAAGAGAGTCGCTAAGATCTTCAAATCAGAGGGAGCTGATGGCGATTCAGAAGTCATCGGAAGCCTTGTGACAAAATTGGAAAACGTCATCACTTGCAGCTCCGTTCGGACAACGTGGCGACAGTGGCCTACATAAACAAACAGGGAGGTACTCGGAGCCCTTCGTTACAAAAGATTGCAGGCGATATTCTAGTTTGGGCCGAGTGAAATCTTTCAATATCGCAGTTCATCTAAAGGGATCGCAGAACTCCCTAGCGGACTTCCTGAGTTGACGACCAATCAGTCACGACGATTGGTTTCTCAACCAGGAGATCTTTCAAGAGCGTTCGCAGATAGGGTATTCCGGAGATTGACCTTTCTGTTTTCCTGTGACGCAAAAAAGGTCTGTCAATTTTTTTTTTTTCTCTGAACCCGCGGGAGCAGGCCTGACGACCTGTCGACCTCTTGGGACTTCAGCTTGGCTTATGCATTTCCTCCAGTGAGATTAATCCCGGTGGTCCTACAAAAGTTTGTGAGGGAGAAGACGGATCTTGTCCTAATAGCACCCTTCTGGCTAAAGAGGCCCTGGTTCTCCCTGCTGAACAGTCTCACCTCAGTTCCCCCGTTTCCTCTCCCGGAGAGGGAAGATCTGATTTCCCAAGGCCCTGTGCTGCATCCACGGATCAGAACCTTGAAGTTGACGGCTTGGTTTTTTGAGGAACAACTTCTCAAAGCCAGGGGGTTTTCGGAAGCAGTGGTAAAGATTTTGGTTAACTGCTGTAAGCCGGTAACCAGAGCCATCTATGCAAAAGTCTGGAAGAAGTTTAGTTCATGGTTATCAAGTCAGCGGCAGGGGTCCCCTGACATTCCGGCGGTCTTGGATGTATTTCAGGGGCAAATCGAGGTCTCTCAGTCAGTACCTTTTTAAAGATGCAGGCTTCGGCCCTAAGCATTTTTCTGCAGGTTCCTCTGCAGCAAAATCCTTTTATGGTAGACTTCTTCAGGTCCCTTTCCAGGTCTAGACCAATTTGGGTCAGGCCTTGTCCTGTTT